CGTGGCGTAGTAGTTAAGTGCTCACGCTCTGTTGCTGGCGGCCCGGGTTCGGATCCCGGGCATGCACCGATGCACCGCTTGTCAAGCCATGCTGTGGTGGCCTCCCATATAAAGTGGAGGAAGATGGACATAGATGCTAGCTCAGGGCCAGTCTTCCTCAGCAAAAAAGAGGAGGATTGGCATGGAGGTTAGCTCAGGGCTGATCTTCCTCACACACACACACACACACACAAACCAAATTAATCAGTTTCATCAAATGTCTACAAATGTAATACCAGAGACCTCACTGTTTAGTGTTTCAAAGATTCGTCAGAGAGCACTTCACTTTTGAGCAATTCCCTAGTATTCAAGGTGATCGTTAAGAAATCATTGTCAAGTGTAAATTAAATACTGCCAAATAATTTTAGAAGTAAAACATGGGAAAAAACTTTTCAAAACATTTGCAGTAAGAGAATGTGGACTTAGGGTGGACGTGGGTGTGTGTTAACATGTGAGGTGCTGAGTGGGGAGACCTCCAAAAGGCAGAGGGCCTGGAGCAGCATCATCCCAGAGGACACACCCCGAGCCGGTGTATCACATCTCGAGGAGCCACACGCACAAAACTATGATAAGTGAAACCACTTTTTTATCCAAAATATCATTTCAAGGTGTAATTGATATAAAAAATGAGATGTGTAGATTCTTCTTTTAGTAGGGTCTTTGAAATCTGCCGTGCATTTTACGTTTACACGTCAATTCCGACTAGCCATCTGTAGGCCTAGAGCATTCAAAGTTACTAAAACTCGTCTTAAAACGGCCCTGTTTGCCACCAGTACCCACCCAGGATGGAGATTTGTGTTTCCTAATCTTTACTTCCCAAACCAGGGCAGGGATGAAGCTCAAGGGCAAGGGGGTGCCCAGAGTCCCCCACACCGCAGGAGCAAGGCTTCAAGGACCCATTAGGGAAACCAAGGGGGACATTAAATTCTTAAGTAGAAGAATCAGGACTTTGACCTCTGAAAAACTGTCACCTTCTGAGTTTCCCAAGGAGGCCATCAATCTTTCTAAAGATAAAAGTGTATTATTTTAGAGAATATTCTTCTACAGGATAAATAGTCCCTCCATGCCACTTTCCAGCTGTTTTACAAGCTTAGTAACAACAGCTAACAGAGAGCCAACATTCATTTCTTTTAAGAAGCCGCGTCCCGGAAATTGAGTCCGGAACGTGTCCCCATCCTGGCACTGGAGCCACTGGCGCCATCTGCTGGCCACAGCGCCCCACCTGCCCCGGGGAATCCTTGGACAGATAACCAAGACCTCCAGTCTGTGGACATTTTTGTCCCCGCAGGGCCCTGTGGGATAGGACACTTAACAGCAGTGGCAGCTAACATCTGAGCACTTATAGGGGCCAGCAGGGAAGCGCTGTGCAGGCGTTAGCTCTGAACACTCACATCCATCTTCTGCCATAGCTACTTTTACCGTCTCCCATTCTACAGACGGGGTCGCTGAGGCTCAGCGAGGTTTCAGTCACATGCTCGAGGTCGCAGAGCTGGTGAGTGAGAGCTGGGAGCTGAAGGCAGGCAGTCTAACTCCGGGTGCATGTTTTTAACTACGATGTTATATGGGTATTTCAAATGGCATATTATAATACATATAATTACCCCTCCCCTTTGGGGGAGAATGCAAGGAAATAGTTATGGCTAGTACTCCTGGCATTGAAGTTATTGAACCTCGAGAACTCATCCTAAACCACATAAGCAGTAACAGGGACAGAGGGAGTCCCAATCCAAGGTATTAAAATACATAGTGCGTAGATACATAGATACACATGATGGAAGCACGTCACGCAAAACGAAACCCACCGTTACCGTGTGCCATATACTGGAATACATTCTGTAGTCTTTGGTGCTCCATTTAAAAAAAAAAAGCTAGTTGCAACAACTACAGTCATTTCACAACCTGCGAATGGGTCGTGATTTAATTCCGAAAATGCTGGCTTAGATGTTCCTGCACGTATTCAAGGGCGTGTGTTTGGTTCATTTCTTACAAAGCCCCTCCTTCAAAGGAAACTCAAATTTGGTTGAATGAAAAAAATTATTTCCCAAATCACCCCCAAAATGGCAGATGGGTTCTACCAAGTCACCTAGAACACACAGAACAACATCACCTTAAAAGAATTTCCAGGGCCGGCCACAGGGCTTAGCGGTTAAGTGCACGCTCTCCACTGCTGCTGCCGGCCAGGTTCAGATCCCGGGCGCGCACCGACACACCGCCTGTCAGGCTGTGCTGTGGCGGCCTCCCATATAAAGTGGACAAAGATGAGCACAGATGTTAGCCCAGGGCCAGTCTTCCTCAGCAAAAAGAGGAGGACTGGCATGGATGTTAGCTCAGGGCTGATCTTCCTCACCAAAAAAAAAAAATAAAAGAATTTCCCAGTGAGGTGTGTTTGCCCCTGAAGATGCCTTTAGGTGTACGTCTTAACTTCCATTGTATTATTTCATGACTCAATTTATTGCTTTATTTTCACTGGATTCATTTTTATGGTTACTTTCTACTTTGGGCAAAAGATTAGTTTTCCATACTCAATTTTCTCTCTAAATTTACGGCAGTGACAAATTTATTTTTGAAAGGCAACTATGTTTTTAAAAAGTGGATCAACTTAAAGAAAAATAAGCAAACAGTGAAAGCGGTGGCTGCCTGTGCTCGGGAAGCTGCACCATGACCGCCCTTCACACCTGGCCGTGCCCCTCACGTGCTGGAATTGCCATTTCTCACACTGATGGCACTTACTCATTGTAGGAAGCCGGGCACTCATGTGTTCTCTCAAGTCCCGCCCATAGCACCCTCTCGTCCAGGGCCCGTGACAGAGGAAGCCACCCCTAGAGTGGGGCTGGGCAGGCAGGGTTCAGCAGGCCCCCTTGACCAAAGAGGCCTCTCGGAGGCAGGCTCAGACACGTGCGTGCACTCAGGCACACCCAGGCAGGCCCGCAGACGGGCACGCACTCAACACCACATTTCCATGCTGTTTCCAGTACCTGTGTCCCAGAACACGGGTCAGACCACACACGACAGGAGCGGAGAAGTGCACCTCCCTGTACACAACCCCCAAACGTGCAACGACACGTTGTTGCAGCATCGTCTCCATATGTGGTCCTGGCCCATATCAGGTCCACACCAAGAACGCAGCGTTACAGACAGGGTGGAGAGAGAGTCTGGCAAAACCTAATGGAAACACCAAGCAAAACGTTCACTGTAAAATCTAGATGATAGATATATGCTCACTGGAAAACTCCTCCAACTCTCCTGTATGTTTGAAAATTTTCATAATAAAATGTTAGGGAAACATAAGTGAACAACATAACTTGTCTTCTCCATGAGGTTTATCTAATCCACCTTCACTGGTACTGGGTGTACAGTAAATTGTTAGTGGTAGAATGACTTGACATTTATCAAAACAGAGTCAAGACTACACCTGTATCTTCTGGAACTGGAAGATGCCATCCAACTTATGAATAACTATTGAGCACCTACGGCATGCAACATACAGGACTGTGCCTGCAGGACGATGAGGTTTAAGACGAAGAGCTCCTCAAAGACTCCACGTGCCTTTTAGGATACATGAAAACAAGTATCTTTAGAAGTTTAATGACGTCAGCCAATCTTTACTGGCTCGTCATTAGCAAACACGCAGCGGCCTCGAAGCTCCAGGTGTGGGCAGGCGGGGAAATGAGCCTTGGCCCTGTCTACCCGGATTCACGTCCCAGTGGCAACACAGAGCTCCCTGACTCCTGGTCTCTGGCAGCCTGAAGTCTAACTTGGACTTAGGCAAATGTTTTAAATTTGCAATTACAAAAATGATCCCCTTGGTAATGTGGCAGGGCCCAATCTTGGAAAAGAATATCCTGAAAGGCTCATGACTTGAACTCACTATTTTGCGGTCATTTTCAACCATAGCCAGTCACTAGCTTGTAAAAAGAGTAATGAAACTATGGCTCAAGTCGATAAATCCATTCCCACCGCCAGTGAAGCTGACCACTGAGATAACCAGCTGGCCTCTCTCCTCACGGCCGTCTCTGCTACCTGCTGTACCATCCCACACATACAGAGCATAAAGCCACAGGCTGGTTCATAAAGGGATGGGAAAATCAGCTGTCAACATAAAACTTAGCTGTTAACTCGAAAATTCAGATTTCTTTTTGTAGTGCACCTACTTTTTCTCTCTCAAAAAATAACTTTTCAGGCTAAAAGATAGAGCCAAAGAGTTAATGGGTCTGAATTCATTTGTGATCAGACTACCAAAGAATTTAAACCACTGAGTGCAAGCAATCTCTTCCAGCAGAAAATTTTATTTCCATTGCTTTTTATGAGTAGACAAACACATTTTACACTATTATCAATACGAGATTTCCACACTCAGCAAGTTAGTTACACACTAGCCCCAAAAAGTAAAGCATAAGCAGCATTTGGGATCACAGGGTAAAAACACAATACACAGACTAAAAGTCAAACGTTAAGGTGAATTTCATTTTGGATACTTACCAATCAGGAATTTTAAATTACATGAAATAAAAAAGCAACACCTCAGAACTACCACCGCTGGGGGCACAAGTGAACAGCACTTCCCATGCAGGGGACTGGGGCTCCAACCTGAAGGCCACAGAACATCAGCACATGGGCCTGGTCCAGAGGCCTGGCCCTCAGCACAAGGAACATCCCCGTGTCAGTCACCAGGACACCTGCCCAGCAGAGCCAAAAAGCACTGGGCACGTTCAAGACAGGAAAGAAGGAAGCAAGAGAAAAACAGACTCTAACTCTGCCCGCCAGTGCGTGGAGAGGCTGCTACTCGACAGTCCACGTGGAGAAAGACTCACAGCTCAAGAGGCCCTCCCTCCTAAGGTGCAGGATTCCTGCACTTCCCAAAGGGTGTCTGAAATCACAAATCAAGACCCAGTGATGACGCTGAGCAGGACGACCTCTTCAAAGATTACGGGGTAGGCAAGGGGAGAGACAGAAAAAGGAGCTAGTAGACAATTTTCAAAACATTTTATTACAAAATACAGTACAGGTTCACAGACGGCTTCCCACTGTTCTCTAACATGTACACTGCTGAAGGAAGCACTCACGACACCTGGCAGTCGCCCAGAAGAACGTCACCTCTACCATGTCGTCAGTCTCCTTGGAGTTACAGAAGGAACCTGTAACAGGCAGTGGAATGGAGACGGCCAGTCACCTCGGCCACTGGGCTCCCGACCGCTCCACAACGGCGTTGTTCTCTCCCGGGGCTGAAGTCCGTGTCCGTGGCTGACAACCCCCCAGAAGCTGGGCCCCAACTCGTCCAGAGACGAGAGAGAGCTCTGCAGCCCAGGCGCCTCTGGCCACTACTTCTTGTTCCTGGGCTTCAGCTCTTCAGCTGCGTTCCGCAGGAAGATGTAATTCTTCTTCTGGGGATTATAAAATTCATGTCCCTAAAGGGAAAAAAACACAATCATCCTATTAATAAAAAGCACAAGTTAGCATTTTGTGGGACTTGCTGTATGCCAAGTCCTGTGCTATGTCCGTGAAGCATAAACTCTCCAGCGGACAAAAACAGGTAGATGGAAAGAAAATCACAAGTTAAACAAAAACGTCAGTCCTCAGAGCAAAGGTTAAGGGCTTGGTAGAAAGCTGTCTTCAATGTCCCACTTGGAGGATCTTTTACATATTGTCTTTTCCGAGTCGAGACTCCTTCTAACCCGCCACCACTTTAAGGCCATGACGACGGCCCTCAGGGAGCGAGGAGCTTAGGGAGGGCGCTGCAGGACTGTTCTGACTGGAGGTTTCTCAGGAGCAGACACAGCTGATGGATGACGTCACAGGGACGCGCCGGCCCACATGACGGAGAGAGAGGAGTGGAAGTGTGCCTGCTTGTGCCTGTGCTGCGGGGGAAGGGGGCCTGTCTTAACATCTGGGGAGCCTGAAAAACCAGGATCACGCCAGATGATAAAGGGCTGTGAACATCAGACCGAGGCCTTTGAACATTACCCCACAAGGAAAAGGAACAGCAGCCACAAAGGTTGTTAGGGACATAACAGATTTGTGTCTCAGGAAGACAGCGGAGTGCAGTGGGCAGGGCAGCTAAGTAGGAACCTCAGGTGACCCACAGGCCTGGAACAGGGAGGCAGGAAGGGCCTCTGGCTGCACTCTGCCACCTGTACTGCAGTGACCTGCTTTATTTTCACCCCTTGACAGACATGCTGAGATGGTTCTAGAAGTTTTGCTCAGTGGTGACCATTAATTCTCATCATGATACAAAGTGCAGCTTTCTGAACGGTTATGTTCAAGCAGCAAGCTAATAATACTAATCATATGCGATCATGAGTTCATGCTGGAGATACTGTCTTCAAACTAAGAACAACAGAAAATTCCTGAAGCAACTTTTTCAAAATTAAAATGATCATGATTTAAGTAACTGCTACTGTGAGTTGACGTTAATTGCTCAGAAGAATTCATTTTGAGCAGCCTTCCAAGCAAAGAGCTTTCTCAGTTCTCTCAGTTTACTACTAGTTTTTCTATCCTTGCTATGCATAGAGCCCTGAGTGGGATGTAAGTTAAATGCAGAGTTTTAATGCAGCTGTAGGCCGATCATGTGACAAGGAAGAGATCCACCAAAGAGCCCCATGGGGAAACTGAGGCCTCAGGCCACAACCTGGCTCCAACCCCAGCCAGGCAGAACATAAAAGTGCACTCTTAGCAAAACTGAGCGTGTGGGTCCACAGGTGAATGGATGAACTGTGATAGATCCACACCACGGAACACTACTCGGCAGTAACAAGGAACGGACTATGAAACACTCAACAGCATGGGTGATCTTCAAAATCATTAAGCCGAGCGAAAGAAGCCAGCCAAAAAAGAATACATAGTGTACAACTCGACTTACATAAAACTCCAGAAAAAGCAGACTCGTCTACAGTGACAGAAGGTAGATCAATGGTTGGGGGAGGGAGGACTACAGTGATACACAGGAAACTTTTGGGGGAGATAAAAACGTTATCCTGACTGGTGATGGTTTCATGAGTATATACAGAAATTGAAACTGATCAAACTGCACGCTTCAAATGTGTGCGATTAACTGCATTTCAATTATAACTCAGTAAAGCTGCCTAAAAAAAAAAAAAGCTCACGTAAGCAAAAGCTCAGAGCGAGTGCGCACACTCCCAGAGGCCAGCGCAGGCGTCAACAGCAATGTGCTGAACGGGCAAGGCGCGTCGCAGGAGAGTGGACAGAGCCCGGGAACCGCCCAGCTCTTCTGAGAAAAAGAGAGAAGAATTACGCCCCAGGGACCGGAGGACGCTAACTCGAGGAGGAAGACGGGAGAGGCGGCAAGCCTGGAGGGTAAAGGAGAGGGTGGTGGGAACATTAGCTGGATTTGCATCTCCTGAGCTAAGGGACTCAGAGGACCCCCAGGGCCGACAACCCGTCAGGGCTGGGAGACGGGAAGAAGAGGGGAGCGAGGTCAGGAGCCGTTAGAAACTGTACGGGCATTAGTTTCTGCCGGAAGAGTCGGGGCCTTGGGAACGCAGGCGCGCCTGGAAGAAGTGCACGGAGCACCAGGCAGGTGAGGCCTGTGCTAGCAAAGCAGGGGGCGAAGAGCAGCCAGAAGCAGGAATAAACCAGCAACAGAGCATGAGAGAAACTGAAGGAGACAGCTCTGTGAAGGAAGGAGGGAGGGATGGACCACGTGCCCAACACAGACAGAAAGCAAGCTGCTGGACTAGACGATCAGGATGTACGCCAAGGAGACTGACGACAGTTCCAGGAGGCCAATACCTTGCAGCGGACTGAAGGGGCACAGAACGTGGGGGAACAAAGACGGCAGGTGTGAGGCACTCATCTAACAGGAAAGGGGAATAAAGTTTTTTAAGATTTGCCATAGAAAGTGTGTATGCTCACCAATGGAGGGAAAGGAGCTAGCGGACACGAGAGGAGCAAGTCTGCCAAGGGGCAGAAAAGAAGGGAATCTCCCGAGGGAATCTCGTGAGGGAGGTGGGGGCAGGCGCAAGGAGACCAGGCCAGAGAAGACGGACACGTGTGGAAATGAACGGGAAAGACACTGCGAGGCGAAGCCTTTCCGGGTGAAGCTGGCGACCTCACCAGTCAGGAACCCGGGCAGCGAGGGCAGAGCATGGAGAGGTCTAGGAAGCTGCCCGGGGCAGGGGGCGAGGGCAACAAGGGAAAGATGAAAACGGTCGAATTCTCCAGAACTAGCAGCTGAGCAGCAGAGAAACCAGGCTGGTCCACAGACCGTGCTCTAGCCAGCAGTCTGGAACCTGAGTACCTGAGTCTGCTCTCTTCACCATTATGCTGAGATGCCTCAAAAACGCAGCCCGGACCCTGTCAGCCCCTAACTCCCTTCCCCAAATAACAAACAAACAAAAACCAATGCCTTGGGCAAAAGCTCCGTGACCTGGCCCTGCTGTCCCCTCCAGCCCCAGCCCCTGCCTTGCCCCCTGCACTCTCCCCCAACCACCGGGGCATCAGTGAACCCCTACACTCTTGCCTCTGCTTTACCACGCGCTTCCCACGGGCCGGTTCCCAGGGGAAGGCCCGACCGGTGTGACTCCTCTGAGTCCCTCACCCTGCAAGGGAGGCCGTGCTGTTTCCCTCCACAGTGAGGTGACGGTAACCCGCCCAAGGACACACAGCAAATCTGGAGAAGAGTCTCGACTCAAGGCCAGGCCTCCCGACCCCAAAGCCTGGCTCTGCCGCCTCAGAGCGCCCACAGCGGGCCGGGAACTCTCACCTTCGACCAGTCGTAGCTGGAAGCATACGCAAATATGTTTCCATTGTGATTGAAGCAGCAAGCCGATATCGGTTGATCTAACTGTTCTGAAGTTTTTAGTTTTGTTCTGGCATCTTTGTCCCAAAAGCTGAATCTACCATCAGACCCCACAGTTGCAAGGGTGCCGTGGACAGGATGGAATGCGATTCCATTTACCTGCAGGGATTGATGTGCATCATGAGAAGCAGAGATGGAGGATGGAGGGGAAATCAGGTTTTCGCCAACCTGTGCTCCCTCTTTCAGACAGAAAACCAAATGCCCGTTCCTGAGCCTGGCTGCCCCCTGAGAACGGGGAAACCAGCCACGCTTCCTGAGTCACTCGCCCACCCAGAAGTCAGTCTCGGCTCTTGTTGCGAACACAGGGCAGCAGAAATTAACACGTATGTAGCTAGCGACACCAAGGCGTGACCCCAGGCAAATGCCTTTTCTCTTTCAGCTAATAGCAAGTTCTTGGTCTTAGCTACGTGTGTAAACTGTCTAGCAGCATTCACACAGAGGTGGAAGACTCTCCTCAAAAGTCCTAAGCTTGCACTCAGAATCAACGGTGACAGAACAAAGACAGTCAACAAGTTCATAAAAACAGAAAACTGAAACCTATGGCATAAGCCATTTATCTCCGGCCCAGAACACACACAATGACAAAGTGATCTTCTCCGGTCCCATAATGACTCAGCTGCCACCTCCAACTCTAGTTTCTAGATGTATTCTCAAGGTTCAAGTTTCTAAAAACATACCGCATAGATGTCCTGAGGAGCTGAAGTATTGGTTCCGTTAGATCGATGGCACTTAAAGGTAAAGTTATCTTTGGCACTGAAAAACAAAGGCCCAACTAAGTTTTCCTTCCTTAAAAAAAGTCTCAGGTGAAAATGTGCAAGCTGACCGAGTCTCACTTACGGATTTGGGGGGTTGATGTAGTGAATAGCAACTCTCCCCTCGATACTGCCCAGGGCAAAACCAGTCGGCTTGTTCTGCTTGTCTTTAAAAATAGCCACACATCGATGCTACAAATGGAAAAAAAAAAAAAAAAGTATATTATCACAGTATAAAATGTAAGATTTCATAACTAACGTGAAGTTAAATAATTTTCACCTCATTTTTGGGTTTTAGAAGAACCAGAAACGTATTTCTCAAATGTGATATTTCTGTCCCTCCAGTCGGCGTCATTTTCTAGCTTTTAACCGCTGCTTGTACTCAGCCACACGACTTTATGAATGGACTGCAGAACAGGTGCTGCTGTCTCACCGCTGTTCCTGCTCGGCCACCACGAAGGCCTCGCGGTCACCCCAGCAGCGCACGTGCCCCTCCGAGCCCCCAGTTCCTGGGCAGACCCTGGCCCTCTCGTGGGGAGGGAGGAAGACTGGTCACTGTGGTTTGTAGCCCACCACTGACCAGGTGGGTGCCCTCCAGCCAGTCACCCCACCCTCTGTGCCTCTGCCTCCCCAGCTGGACAAGGGAGGCAGTGTCGCCTGGGGATCACGGGGGAGCAAGGGTCAAGCGGGAGAGTGGCTGGGCCAGGACCTTCTGAACTGTGGACATGCTACAAGAAGGGAGACACTGCACTTGATCCAACACTGAGTCTGAGGGGCCCAAAGGAGGGTCTCCTGAACTCGACAAAGACCCCACAGAAGGAGCCCAGGGCCCAGACCCTGGGCACAGGAGCAGGGGCTGGGCCCGTGTGAGTCCTCGCCTCCTCCTTCCAGTCAGGATACCCTAGCCTAACCCAGAGGACCACCCGCTCCGCCCAAACTGGACATTTTGGCTTCTGTAAGGAGTTCAGGGGGTGCTGGGGCCAGATCAGGGCCTGGGGGCTAAGCCATAAAAGATACCGGTAAAGAGCAGTTTCAGTTAGCATGATACTTGCTAGAGTATGCGAATTTCCTAAGTAAGTGGAAAAGTGTAGGCTAGTTCTATTTCTGTACCATTTGCCTTTTTCTGTTTTTTCTTTGAACAGCAAGCACATTACTTTTGTGAGTAGAAAAAGAATTAAGGAAAAGAGACAAAGTCTCTGAGTTCTTAGAGGTCAGGAGGAACCACAGCCAGTAAAGCTGTACCTGCTGTGCCCAGCACAGGTTTCATACCCGGCACCCAGACCAGGGACCGCACAACCCCATGAGGCTCGATTGACAAGAACGCGACTGCACGGTGGCCCCACGCACAGGCTGATGGCACTCCTCAACAAACAGATGGCCAGAGCGCCTGGCATGGGGTGACGGGAGGTGAAGCCAGGCCAGACTAGGTTTTACCAAGGAGTTTGGGATTTATCCAAAAGGAAGTGAGGAGTCAGTGCTGGGTTTTAAGCACAGGTATGGCAAGATTGGATGTGCCACTATAAGAAAGAGCCCCCTGAGTCGTGTATGCAGAATGGACTGAAGGGCAAAGATCTAAGCTCTTACAGTCATTCAAGGAGACGTGGATTAGATGTGGCAGGAGGAAAAGAGAGAAACGAACAGATTCCAAAACATTTGCAGGGTAGAAGTGAGCCTAGAGATTAACGAGATAGGAGAGGAGAAAAGGAGCGGGGAGTTGCAAGGATGACTTCTGGATTTCTGGCTTAGACAACTTAGCAGGTGGAAGGCCCATTTAATGAGAGGTGGAGCACAGGGCGAGGGGCAGCTGGGGTGGTAGGCAGGAGCAGGTTAAGATTGTTTGTTCACTTAGCAAATATTTACAGAAGCCTCTATACGTCACGCCGGCTCCAGAGACTAGGAATGAGGCAGCAACTAACACAAACAACAGTCTCCACTCTCACTGAGTTTACATTCTAGGAGGCAAAACAAGAGAAAGAGAGTAAAATATATATACAGTACTGGGGAGAGCAGCCAGGAACAATCCTGAGAAGAGGTAACTGAGTCAAGATCTGCAGAAAGTGGTCCCATGTTTGATGTGGGACACTGTTGGGTTGAGATGTTGGGAGACATGTGAAGGAGCTGTCAGACTGTGGGTGTCCTTGTCGGGGGCACAGAAGTGAGGTCTGTTGGGGATCTGAGTCTCCAGCCCACAAGAGGTATCTAAGCGATAGCAATGGATGGGAGATAAGATTTTGCTTATGTAGGGAAGGCAATGACCAAGGGAAGACACCTGGGGAACCTCAACATGCAACAAGAACCTCCGAGGAAGACGAAGCAGCAACCAGAGAGGCAGGAGGTAAGAGGCTAGGATAACAGAAACCAAGGACAGAATGTGTAGAACACGCAGGAACAGTGGTATGGAACGACTCTGTTATGGTCAGATGAGGGCTGATCAGTATCCACTGGAACTACTGATGAGGAAGCCACCGGTGGCCACGCCAAAAACAGTTTCAGTGGAGTAACGGGGGCAGAAGTCTCCACGGAGGAGGGTGAGAAATGAGTGGGAGGTAAGAAGCTCATGCAAGACGCCTGACAGCAAAGGGAAAAAGGAATTCAGGTGGTACTGGAGGAGGATGTGCGGGTCAAGAGAGGCTTGTTTTTTAGGATGAATTAGACTTGAGCATGTTTCAGTGCTAACGGATAAGTACTAAGAAAGGGGAGAGACCGAAGATACAGGAGGGAGGTGGGTGATCGATGGCCTAAGGTTCCTGAGAAGGCTGGAGGGCATGGAGCCCCACCACAAAACTGATTCTGCCTAACATGGGAAAAAGGCAGAGAAAGACGCAGGCTCACGCCAATTTCCAGATTCAGCAGGAGCAAGATGAGGAAGTTCCCAACCATTAGCTTCTCTGTCCTCTGATTTGATTTGCTGAGACAATGGCTAAAGGAGGGAGAGTCCAGGAGTCTGAAGAGAGCAAAGAAGATCTAGGAGTCCATGACAAGTGGGAGACTGAGCTCAGGGGAAAAACCCAGTAGCTGTCTGGGCGTGAAGAAGGCACAGTCCAAGTCTGAAGCTATGAATTGACAATGGAACCAACCCATGAGATGTGGGATTTTATTCGAGAGCGTTCAGCCATCCAGGGGGACGTTTGGAGAGGACAGGTAAGCCGGATCATCCAGAAATGGAGAGTACTTACTCACTACACATTTGTGTTTGTATCCTTAAATCCACCCCCTCTGAAAGCACAGCTGTTCCCCATGAGCACGCACTGACCGCACGACGGGCGCTGAAGACCCCCTCCTGATCTGACCTACGCCTCACCTGATGCTTCAGTGGAGACTCGATCCTCCGGAATTCAGAAGGCTGGTTCTCTAACTGGTAGACAATCAGGCCCCGCTCCGCAGTTGCCACCACGGCCATAGGATAGATCTAGGGAGAGGAGGAAAGCAGAGATGTGCCTAAAACGAAGGAGTGTGCTTTTTCACACCAAAGCATTAGAGCAATGTTTTTAGAGCCACAAAAATAAGTCCGAATTTTTTTAAGTTTAAAAATCCAGTGATATCAACGTTTCGTGAAAACCTAGAGAAATCATATTTGAAATTAGAACATTCATATATTTTCAAAAGACTTGTTTTTTAAAACCATAATATATATGAATATTTAGAAAATATGCTGAGGAATAGAGAAGAAATGAAAACCACCTACCCCACCCCTCCGGATGATAACTGTTAATACTATATTTCACTCCAGTCTCTTTTCTGAGCATTATACATGCATATGTGCACGTGTATGTTTCTACAGAATTCGTATCCTTTACTGCAAGTGTGTAGTCCAAGAATACTAGTAGTGACAGTCTAATATGCCCTAAATGAACCTACCACAGGTAGGTCTGACTTGTTCCCCCATTAAGTCACCTCCAATGTTTCACTATATTACACAGAACAAAGACCATGTGCATCTTTATCTTTTTCATGATAAAGTCCTAAAAGTGGAATTAGTGGGGCAGTTGGTACAAAACTTGAAGACTTATGACTAAACGGAGAAAGTCCTTGAGTTTCTCTCCCACTCAAGAGACAGTCCCCAAAGATCTAGTACCACAGCACAAGGTTACTGCCAGGTCTCCTACACCACAGCATAAACGTCATGTGCTGATGGCATGCAGCTGATCCGCATATGCTCAACTAACAAGTGACAGAAAAACCCGACAGTGTTTACTAATTCTGGAATAAATGCAGCACAAAAGTCTCCCAATGTAGAAGATGACCGAGGCAAGCTGAACTATATCCCCCGTATCTACTGTTAAAGTTCTAGGGATTTTAGATTACCCTCTAACTGAACGATGTCATAAGGTAAGAGATGTTTGTTTTTTGTTTTTTTTTTTTGAGAAAACAGATACTAAGGTAGAAATTCCTTACCACGTCGGCACAGTAACACCTCTCAGGGAGCTGCAAAACCATCATAGGATTTGATGACCGCGTATCCCAAAACTGAAAGAAAAAAAAAAGCTGCCAGAAGGTGGCCATCCAGAGCTAAAGCACAAATAGCATAAGGAAAAACGTCAAGCCCGGGCAGGTGTGCAGTCCCTCCGCAGCAGACTATACCTTCAGAGTTTTGTCCCAGCTCCCGGTCATTACACAGCTGTAGTTGGGTGCTTTGATCCAGTGTATGGTTTTAACAGGAGCATCGTGCTTTCAACAAGACAGAACCAAAACAGATCAAGGTAACGGTAACAACATGCAAAACAGTTTTAGTTCTAGAAATTGAAAGAGAAGGAACTAACTTAAATATTGAGGTCATACCAAACAAAAACCAAAGGATTATTTTAGCCCTTCCTCAGGACCAAAATATTCAATTTAACATAAGAACATATATCTACCTTCCATTCTAATAAACTTTAGTTTGATTTAACCCATAACTAACTAGTATGTGAGAGGGAAAGTAAGCCTCTCCTTGAGGGGAGATGTTCAGAAATAACTAGTAGGAACTCCACCACAGTTTTATCTATTCACTAAGGTGACAGGAATTAGGAGGTCGAGGAGATGCATCTAGCACACAGCACTGTGATCTCAGAGTATGTAATACTTTTCTGAAAATGTTTCAGCGTCAAAAGGCCCTTCCTCAGAGTCAGACCCTCTGGGTCTAGGTTCTCTGAGCTTCATTACTTCTGCCCTTCTTAGCAGCCTTCACACCAGAGGCTGCCTGTGGTCCCTGACAGGCTATAAAAGCTCCACGGATGCGTGGAGTGTCCCTCCTCCTGCGCGTCCCTCCCTTAATGATAGAGCCTGGCAGAGAGCAGGCATTCGATAAACACTGGTGGAATGAACGAGTGACCACACACAGCTGGAACACGGTGAGCCACACGTGGGTGCTGGAATGTCAAACACGTCAATGTCGAGGACCACCTGTAACATTTTCGTTTATAGATTTTAATGTCACTAACTCCTTATGACACCATCCTCACCAACACATATATGGAAGACCCATGACAGAATAATCTATGAAAAACTAGTAAGAATGAGAATGGTTATAAAACTGGTGTTATTTTTGTACTTAAGAGGTTTCTGGTATATTTAAGTCTAATTGATTTGGTATAGTCAAACTGCATTTTTCCTACAAGAGAGAATTATTACAATTATAATTAAAGAATCATCACACCCTGGGCCCCAGCCGTGACCGCCCCTCATGCAGAGTAAGCTTTATTACCTGTGCAATCTGTATTGCCTGATTACTGTTGAGGTCCCACATTTTGGCAGTTTTATCACATGATGCTGTAAATACTTTGCTCCCATCCTAAAATAAAATGGAGAAAATCTGGCATTCTAAGAAAAATAAAATCTCTCTATGTACATTTAGATATTAGGTTGAACATACTGAGGCAGGTTTTGCTTTGCAATTTTTATTTTTCCAATTATTTGGGGGCCAGTGTATTGTAAACTATAATGTCATACATAAAACACACTGTCAGCTCTATTTATTATTAATTTATTTTTCTAAGAGATAATACATGAGCAGGATAAAAAAATTTAAACGGCACTTAAAAAGTTGTATCATGAAAACTACGTCTCTCTCCATCCCTGACCTCTCACAGCAGCCACGGCCACCACCATATCCTCCAGGAACAGCCTTTGTACAGCATCTATCTGTGTGTATTACCAGGGACCACTTCAAAATTTTTTTCTTATTTTCATCAATTTCAAGTCTTCACAAAAGTTGCAAGAATAATACAATGAATACCCAAAAACTTACTACCTACATTCACCAACTGTAAACATTTTGTGACATTTACTGTATCTCTTTCTCTGCTCTCTCTGTACACAAATATAGATATAATCGTTATTACTTTTGTTGAGCTCCATACCTAACAGCATTCCAAATGCATGCAATAAAACTACACTAATATACAATAGACATTGGTCCTATGTAAACTATAGCTTAAAAAATTAGCAGTCGTGTAATGGTTTTTAAAATAGTCACACACACAACTCATAAAGTAGGTCAGTCAAATATGAAGAAACACAAGGTAATTTAAAACAAGAGAAAAAGTACTGAATTGAAAGTCTTGCCCAGTGGTCAGCACATATTTTTCTTAAAGGACCATACAGTAAATGTTTTAGTCTCTGCAGGTCAAAAGGTCTCTGCTGCAACTCCTTAACTCTGTCACTGCAGCTTCAGCCATACATATTATATATAAATGAATGAGTGTGGCTACGTTCCAGTAAAACTTTATTTACAAAAATAGGCAATTGGCCAGATACGGCCCACGAGCCATGGTTTGCTGAACCCTGGCCTAGACCATTTCATTTCCGGTTCCGTAGCTCAAAGATTTACCACCATCCTCCCTACCAAACCTTCTTCCCAATTGAAATCACCAGTTCTCCACCTGAAAGAAGAGATAAAATCTGCTTCTCTACTAAAGAAGTTATAAGGATAACTCCACAAATCCTTGAAAAGATACCAACATCTGCATGAAGGCTGAGGCTGAGGGCAACAGCGGCCTCTAAGTCTCATCACAAAATGCCGATCCCACCAGCTGTGATTAGCACTATGGAGTGGCAGCACACCAGATCCCAGGGGACAGACAGATACAGAGGCTCATCTATCAAAAGGCCTGGGCAGAGAAACAACATTTCTAAGTGCTCCCCACCCGGCTGCTCTAAGGTCTACCTGCTATGGCCACATAGTGAACTGTGTCCTTGGACTGCCGAGGAAATCACCTTCACCAAGTTTGGCTTTTATGCCTCAAAGGTAACTTTGGCTCTTTTGTGCTTCTGTGTCTTTTACCTGTGCCTTCCTCTCCCAGAATGCCCTTCCCACCCCTCCCAGGCTAGCGGCGTATACTCTTCCTGTAAGCCCCCAAGAGGCAGGCTGTCGAGCACATGGGCTCTGGAGCCAGGAAGCTCTGGTCTCAGCCTTTCACTCACTCTGTTCCCTCAAGTAAGTCCCTTAATCACTTCCTGACAGGCACAATGCTAGTCACTTTAAGTAGATTTAATCAAGTCATCACCAATTTCCACCATCCGAAATTCTTATTTGTTTCTGAATGTCCATCCTAAGAGACCATGAGTTCCATGCGCACAGAATTTGCCTACCTCGCCTACTTTGATTTCCACTATATCCCCAGGGCTTAGCATACAACAGGTGCCTGATAATTATTTGCTGAATTAATGGTACTATTGATTGTAATTTTTATTACCACCTTCATTTTATAAGTGAGGAAACAGACCCTGGGAAATTAATAACTCAGCAAAGTCAAAGAGCGGAGGAGATAGAGCCAAAACTTGAACCCAGGCCTGGACTGGATGAGACAATGCTTGAAAAGCTACAGGCAGGTGGTTTCCTTTTAAGATTCAGCTCAACTCTTGCCTCTTCTGTGAAGCATTCACGGCACCTTCTCCCACTTCATAGCTGCTTTCTGTGTTCCTCCCACCCAGCCCCAGTTCCTCCTGCTTCCCTCAGAACTCAGCTCACTCAACAGAACTCTTCATTCCCATGTTTGATTCCTCCACTAGATGGGCACAACCTGGAGAAAGGAAACAGGCTGCACACATCTCTGTAAATACCAACAGCCACTCAGTAACATTCGAGCAACAGAACTCCTGTATCTGTTAACTCTACTGCTTACCACACTTTATAAGAAACTTTACGATTCTGATCCGTTATCTGATCAGTAAAGATAGGCAAAATAAATTAGAAATATTTAAAATCTATTCAAGTTGCGACTTTTCCACAGGTAAATTAAAAATAAGTTGTATCTGTAATAAATGTGTCACTTTCCAAACTATTCAAACTATTATTAGTCTCATAATAACCCAATCAGATGTATGAAGAATACATTTTTCAGATGACAAAAAGGCCTCAGAGAAGCCTATCACAGCTAGTGATTAAAATGGGAGCAACTGTGGCTCCTAAATCATCTCAAGATATTTATAAATAGTAGAATCATTTCTTATAAGCTAAATAACATCACATAAATGTACGGTGCGGTTTAAAAACAGCGATGCAGGGGCTGGCCTGGTGGTGCAGCGGTTAAGCGCAGGCGCTCCACTTTTGCGGATCAGGATTCACAGGTTTGGATCCCGGGCACGGACCAACGCACCGCTTGTCAAGCCATGCTGTGGCAGCGTCCCATATGAAGTAGAGGAAGACAGGCACAGATGTTAGCCCAGGGCCAATATTCCTCAGCAAAAAGAGGAGGATTGGCAACAGATGTCAGCTCAGGGCTCGGGGCTAATCTTCCTCACCAAAAAAAAAAAAAGAAAAACAAAAAGAAAAAAAAAAGCAATGTAAAATAGTTTGATGTTTCTCATGAAGTTAAACATATACTTACCATATGACCAGCAAGCCCACTACTAGGTATTTACCCAAGAGAAACGAAAACTTACATTCACAGAAAATCCAGCACACAAATGCTGACAGCAGCATGATTCATAACGACCAAAAATGGAAACAACCCAAATGTCCTTCAGTTGGTGGACAGTGAACAAAAGAATCCACGCAGTGGAATACTACTCAGCAATGAGAAGGGCAAACTGCTGACACCACCTGGAGGGACCTCAAATGCAGGATGCTGAATGAAGCCACACTCAAAAGGCTACACGCTACAGGACTCCATTTATATGACATTCTCGCAAAGGCAGAACTACCAGGACAGAAAGCTCATCAGTGGTTTCCAGGGGCCGGGAGTTGAGGAGGATCTGACTACAAAAGGACAGGAGGAATCTGGGGGCTGATGGATCTGTTCTACATTTTGACCACAACTCTATGCATTTCTAACAACTCACAGAATTATACACTAAAAAGGTTCAATTTTACTGTTTGCAAATCACGTCTAATAAACATGACTAAAAAAACACGCACAAGGCCTGGGAGGGTCCTTGAGGCTCAGCTTGCTCAGCATCGAGGAGCATCTATCTGCCTGTGCCTGCCAGTCCAGCCCTGTGTTCTCACGTCTGCCGGGTTCAGCACAGGCAGAAACGAGGAAAGAAAGGCTGGGCTGTCAGTGCCCCGGCTCTTCCTTTGCCGACTGGGCGGGCCCTTCTACAGATGCAGCTTGCCACAGGTCCTTCACCTTCCCTGCTGGCTCCTTTGTAAATGGTCCCTTCATTAAACTCTCCTCAATCGCCCACCCCTTCTTGCAAAAGAAAAAAAAAAAGCTCAGAGCCGAATAAACCTGAAAACATTTACTTATACTTCTGACGTTCAGGATTGGGTGGAAAAAGAATACCAAAAAACCAAAACACTTCAAAAGTCTAATACAGGCATACCTTGGAGATACTGTGGGTTTGGTTCCAGACCACTGCAGTAAAATGAGTATCACAATAAAGTGAGTCACTTTATGTGATACGCACTTTATATGCACTTTTGGTTTCCCAGTGCATATAAAAGTTATGTTTACATTATGTCTAAAAACAATGTGCATACCTTAATTAAAAAAAAAACTTGAGGCCAGCCCAGTGGCACAAGCAGTTAAGTGCACGCGCTCTGCTGCGGTGGCCCAGGGTTCGGATCCCCAGCGCGCACCGACGCACTGCTTGGCAAGCCATGCTGTAGCAGCGTCCCATATAAAGTAGAGGAAGATGGGCACGGATGTTAGCCCAGGGCCAGTCTTCCTCAGCAAAAAAAACTGGCAGATGTTAGCACAGGGCTGATCTCCTCACAAAAAACAAAAAACTTTATTGCTAAAAATTGCTAACCATCATCTGAGCCTTCAGTGAGTCGTAATCTTTCTGCTAGTGGAGAGTCTTGTAAAAAAAAAAAAAGTATATCTGCAAAGTGCAATAAGTGAAGCGCAATACAATAAGGCATGCCTATAATGGAAAAGGATTAATTTTTTCCCTAGGATTTATTTTCTGGGATAGTCAATTGCTAATTTTAAAACAACACAGGCTCATGGCACATTTAGAGGTATGAAAGGCTTCAAGATATTACCTAATCCCTTGCTCAAGGAAACATGTCAATAAAATGATGGATTTTTTTTATGCAAGAAAGGCTTTCAGAGAGATTAACTAAAGCTAACATGACGAAAGTTAACTGACTACATTAGGAACATCAATAAACTACTATATTTACATTCAGAAACTCAGAATTTGTATAATGTGTATACATACATGCTATTTGTGTTTCGGGTTACATGAAAGTAGAAATTCATAAATATTCTGAATTACACTACACATTACATAGAAGAAAACATTAACTAATGAATGACTCTTACATCACTCCAGCAGACGTCTAGCACAGGCCCAGTGTGCATCTGCTGGGCTTTTGGAATAGTCTGTCCACTGTCCTGAACCTCCCAGCAGCGAACCTATAGTGACGAGACAAATTGATGCAAACGCCAATTAACGGTATATTACACGCATTTAACGTCTAATACCTAATGGGTACAATTTACATGCACTCCTCACGTTGACCTGATTAAGAATAAAGCAACTGAAAAGTACACGCAAGTAGCTATTTTCCTATTTCTAAGTCATTAAAATATACAAATTCTATTGCTTACACCCAAAACCACAGGTAATTTTTTCACCACATCTACAAGATACGTCTGTCTATTAAAGCAGAATGTCATCCCTTACCAGAGAATCAAGACCAAGTGGAAACTGATCTTTCTTCTCTGAACACTTTACTCTGATTTTTTATGCCATCTTTTTCCCGATTATAAAAGTAATGCATTTTACTTAGAGATTTTATAATTATCGCAAGTAAAAATCACTTCAATCCCACCAGATAACACGGTTAACAGTGCAATGTGCTTTCAGCCTTTCTACATACACGTATGGTCCTCAACAAGCAGATCAGCTGGTATCTTCACTTTCGTAATTGCAGCTTTTCTCACTTGCATTATTAGCCTATGTGCCCTTAAAACATTCTTCTAACACTTTTTAGCAGCGAATCAAGTGAAATCTTTCCAGAAACTACATGTAGAAAGCAAATCTGCTCAACCATGACTACCTTCCTCCCTCTACTGTTCTCCTCCCCTCAGGGCCCCGCTGCCTCCCAGCAGCAAGTCAGCTTGACATCTTTTCCAAAAACTCTTAAAATGGTATTCCATCATACAGACATACCATAAATTATCACTGCAATTGAGTATTACAATTTTCAGAATTTTCACCAGCACAATGACTTTTTTAAATGAGGCAGTATCGGGCTGTGGCTCAGAGCACAGAGCCTGGGCCAGACCACGTGGATTAGCATCCTGGCTTTGCCACTCACTCAGACACAGGACCAGGGCCAGTTACTTTACTTCTCTAAGCCTCACATCCTGCTTCAGAAGATGGAGATGACACTAAGTCCACGGTGCTTCAGCTCTTGTAGAGATTAATTCAGATAACGAATATCAAGTACACTATCAGAGAGCCTCCTCAAGTCCCAGAAAGCGAATCACTGAGACACAGGCAATAAACTTAAAGCTTTATGATAAATATTGCCAATTACCCTCCAGAAGAGCTGTACCAATTTATATACCTACCAGCAGTGCATGTAACGTTTCAGCTTATCCTTGCTGACACCAAGTATTGGTTTTTTTCTTTTTGTTAAGTTGATAGAAAAAAGCGTCTATCACGAAATTTTGCATTTATCTGATTATGGATGTGGTTGAATGGTTCAAGTAGACTGTAACGGGCCACTTGCACTCCTTTTGTGAATTGCCTCTTCACATCTTTTGCTTATTTTCCTAGCAGAGCTTCTATCTTTCTTTTTGCACACTTTTTGACTTTTTTGGTAAGTATGATGTCAACGCAGGATTTGTGCTATATCTGAAGCTGAAAAAGTTTAACATATGCCTGAAGAACATTTTCAGGATGCCTAGAGGGAAATTTAGGTATGCCATCATAGAAGACATTCATTCTCAATGAAGACTTCATTTGATTTGGAAATACACCTCCGGACACTGAACTAGAGTAGGAAATTTTGAGCTATGCATACGATCGTGCTTTCTTAACAAAAATCAGTGTAACAACAAGTGATGTCTGCCATTCAGGAGGGTTTATACCCTCTAAACTGATTTCTTCAGAAAAGCCATGAATAAGCCTTAACTCTGCTTCATTCACTTGGGAAAGAATGGAGCCAAAAGGAAAGCTAAGCCTGCCCATACAAAGATACATGACGTACAGAACATGCATTTAAGGAGCACTTACATCGTTAGCCCACGATCCTGCGATAAGAAAGTTCCCTGGCAAGGTTGGCGGGCTAAAAGATAGACAACCAATGCTATCATCAGGAGAGGATGTCACTTCAATATCCTGGGGGGACAAAGTCAACATTAAAATGTGTGCATCACAATTTCATTCAAAACTGCTTTCTCTCCTTCTAAACACCTCATGGTGGACCCTCCTTGTGCTCAAGAACCAACTGCACTAGACTTTCTTACTGTGATGAGAAAGGGGAGGAGTCAACAAGCAGAGAAAGTGCTAGCACTGCTGGGCCTGAAGCAGCACTCCAAACGACATGCCCACAACCATGTTCTCTAAATGACGCCACGGCAGTTCACTCCTGCCCCCAGGTGCTTGACCACAGTTATCACCTGCCTCCCTCCCTCACAGAAGTTCTAATTCAACAGTTGTGGGCCAGGCCCCGGGGAACGTGCAAGTTCAACAAGCACCTCAGGTGAATCTGGTGATCCCGAAAGTCAGGGAGAATAGGACAGTGGTCCAGGGACACACAGTTTCCGTGCACCAGTGTTCGAGAAAGCCAGCTAGACAAAGTTTCAGAGCTTTCACTCAAAAGGAGGTTCCCCAGCCATCCGGGTTTCTCCCGCTGTCACTGCTGTGGGAAACCCCAGCCTGCGCTCTCTCCACAAACCCCGTGAAGCTTTCGTGCTACCTTCATAGGGTTGTGATTGTCTGTGGTTGTGCTGCCAAACATGCTGGTCCCGCTAGTTCCAAAACCCGAGGTGGTTCCAAACAGACTCATTTTGGCCCTAAAAAATAATAGAAAATGTTAAGAATAGGTCCTTTCTTAAGTAATAAATATCACTAAGAGGCAATATAAAGATGACGAAGTCACAGATGGGAAACAGAGAGTCTAAATGGCTTGACGTCAGGCTTCTCTTCTGAAGAGATCTAAATATATAATAAGCAGAGTGCTTATTTAAAAATTTCTAGGGGCCGGTGGCATAGTGGTTAAGTTTGCGCTCCGCTTTGGTGGCCTGGGGTTCACAGGTTCGTATTCCGGGTGCGGACCCACAAGCCACTTATCAAGCCATGCTGTGGCGGCGTCCCACATATGAAGTGGAGGAAGATGGGCAGGGATGCTAGCCCAGGGCCCATCTTCCTCAGCAGGAAAACAAGAGGTAGATTGGCCATAGATGTTAACTCTGGGCTAATCTTCCTCATCAAAAAAAATAAACTAACTTTCTATTTCAGGATAGTTTTTTACGGAAAATTGTAAAGATAAAGTTCCCACACACCCCACATTCAGTTTCCTTCCTACATGTGTCACCATTAATGACCCAGTACTGCCACATTACAGCAGAGTATTTCTCAGCCACCAGCTAGAATGTAAACTCACATTTTACATAGTTAGAGACACCAAGCTGAGCACCAGGAACACAAGTTAACCAGCAGAAGGCCCCATCTTCCGGGTTCCCTCGTAGGGAGAGTGCACTTTCTTCTTATTATTTCTGCACTCGGGTTTAGGTCAATATCTGCATGAGGTTACTTAGAAGTGCAACGAGTCCTGGCAGCAATTCAGCAACTTCTTTGCAGAAGTTTAAAATAAACTAATCCACACTCTGGGCTGCTTGAGTTCCAAAAGGTCTGGCATTATATTTTTGACATTTACCCAGCAAGAATCCCCCCACTCTGAGCTTCTTCCTGGGCACCTTAGTCTAGCAGGCACACCAGAGTTTGAACGGTGCCTCTGCCACTCCCCAGCGCGGGGACCCTAACCTCACCGGGCCTCATGTTCCCTGTTCTGCAAACAGAGAAGAACACCTTCTCCAGGACTGCCACATTTTCAATTCTGTCATTGGTGAGCAAATTCTCATACCCAGAAGTCTACCATGTCAAGTCACCTCTCCCAAAGGAGCCCAGTAGCTGAGTGACAGACTTGCTAACAAGAATGGCATCTCTAAAGAAGATAACACAGAATGGGAAAACTGCAAGGAATTTGGGGAAGGCATTTGAGTTTTCCAGCTTTCATGAAAACTAACGAAGTGCAGACATATTGGGTCAGAGCGACAGGTACGAGCACATTAACATCTCAGAAAGCAACTCTGTGAGAGGACACGGTGCTGGCCGACCACCTGCGCCTCAAGTGTTAGCGACGCATCTGAAGCACCAGCTAACTGCACGAGCGAACAAAGGAACGACAACACTTTCGCAACCAGAGGCCAGGAAGCAGCTGCATGGCTTCTGGCAGATTATTTAGCCTCAATTTTCTCATCCATAAAAAGAGTCACTAACATCCAGTTCACCGAGTTATGAGAACCAAGGGAGGACGCATGCAGCGCCTGAAACTTCTGTTCCTTCCTCCTCTTCAACCATCAAGTTGGGAGAGGGCATTTCTGCCACTACGGAGGAACTCAGGGGGAGAACAAGGGTCCTTCAAGTACTCATCAGCCTGCGTGGACCACACTTTATGCAGGACACTGGGAACCCTCAAGTACATCTCCAGCCCACCTAACCTCCTCTCCATCTCTCTCTCCTTGCTGGACCCCGGCCCCACCAGCTCTGATGACTTCCTTTCTGCCCGTGAGCACAGCAAGCTCACCCTGCCTTGGTGCATCCCCACCAGCTGTTCCTGCAGCCTGGCACAATCCGCCGTCCCCCAAACCTCCAGCTGTCTCAGTCTGAATCTTCGGGTGCCGGTTCAAAAGTGGCCTCCTGAGAACTTTTTAGGGTGATGGAAATGTTCTAAAACTGCACTGTGGTGACAGGTACTGAACTTCCCAAACTCATCAAAACGTACACTTTAAATTGGCTAGACTACGTAAGTTATACTTCAACACCGCCGTTAGAAGCATCTTTTTAAAGAAAGCCACCTCCTCCGAGGCTTCCCTGCCTAATTTGACAAACCCAACCTTCCAGGACATCACTGCTTTCTCCACCCGTCACCATCAGGAATCTCCTGTTTGCCAACAGTCTCTTCAGCTGCGAAGGGCAGGGAGCCGCCTGGACCCTCCCTAATGGACACCGGGCCCCAGCGCGGTGCCTGGCAGTTAAGAGACACTCGCCTGGGGGAAGTGCGCGTGTATAATCAACACTCGGGGAGGAGACAGAACAAAGAGACTCATTCAGAGAGCGCTAAGGGCAACGCAGGGGATGAGGCAGGAGCCGCGGGGGAGACTAACGGCCGCCCTTCTGCGGGAGAACGGACAGGGCAGGCTTCCCCGCGAAGCCAGACGTGGACCGGGCACGGGCAGAGGCGCAGACGCTGCCATCGGCTCCGCGACCCTGCCCGGTCCTCGGTTTCCCCACAAGGAGAACGGGGGGTGAGGCCCGAGGTGGCCCTCCCGCCCAGTCCAGCCCAGACATCCCCCCGCGGCCACGTCGCCAGCTCGGCTCGCGCCAGCACCTCGCTGCGGGGCGCACCCCGCCGGGACCCGGCCTCGGCGGCGCCATGGCGGCGGGTACCGAGCGGAGGCGGGACGGGGCCTACCTGAGAGTCGCGCTGCAGTGGGCAGCCGACGGCGGGGAGCGAGAGGGACTCGGGGGCCTGCGACCCCGCTACCACGCGGGGAGACGAGGGCGAGGGGCCGCGAGCGGAGGTCCCGAGAGCCCGGGGTCTCCTCACGCCGGCGCAGGAAACGGCCCAACAGCCGCGAGACACGGCGCATGCGCCCCGGAGCCACTTCCTGTGTCGCCCGGAAGTCAGGGAGGAAGAAAAGGCTCCTCCTCCCGGGAGGTCATGGTACAGGCGCGGACACGCTATTGATGCCGACGAGAAGTCCTCGTGCCAGCAGTTTGCGGACTGGTCGAAAGCTGATGTAGCCAACTCAAGTTGCCGCGCGACCGCTTTGATAAATCCGCAGCCCCGGCTGGTGGAGGGTAGTTAGTATTGTCTCTTGTGAATTAGAAGTCTAGCAAAATTCTGATTACCACCAGTGTAAGTCCTAGGTCATCCTTGAGAAGCTGATGGGGCGCTGCTGAGTCCTGCCCTAGTCCCTCTGTTTGCAGACTTGGGTATCCTAAGCCATCTGGGGCTCCTTGGACCTCAGTTTCCAGCTGTGAAATGGGGATAATGATGCCTAACTTCCGCGGCTGTTCTTAATTAGGTTCAAGTGAAGTGACACGTGAAAGACTTTCGCTAAGTGTAAGATTCCATAAGAATGTTAAGGGGCTGTTAGGACACACGTGCCAACTCCGACTGTTTTAGCTGGTTGCTTTTTTCTCCTTTTAGGAATGTAGGAAAAAAAAAAGGGGCGGGGGGATCTTCTGAGGTTGTGGTACCTACACTGGATCTTCCCCTTTATTTCTCAGTGTGGTCTGCATAGCAAGAGCCTTGACATCTGCAGGGGCCTTGAGGATCCGCGGGATCTTGTTATAAAATGCAAATTCAGGAGGTCCAGGGTGGGCCTGGGAACCCAGATTTCTAGCAAGCTCCCAGCGGGAGTTGTCGGTGTCATGCACTGCAGTTGAGCACCAAGAATCTAGATCTTGGTGTTTGGAATTTGGAATTACTTGGGCGAACTTCTAAAAGCTCTGATGCCTGGGCGTCACCCTCGGGTTTTGATTAGTTGATCTCGGGTGGAACAGAGAGGGAATGTTTTTACAAAGCTCCCCAAGTCTACCATGCAGTCAAGATTGAGAACCTCTACTCTAGATAATTATAATAATAATAGCTCTTTTGAGCACTAGATGATCCATGTCCTGTGATTTCCAGAGCGGCCCTCTAAGGTAGATATTGTAATAATCAACATTTTATAGAAAAGGAAGATGAGGCTGAGAGAGGTAACATGAGCGTCAGACGCACACAGCTGTTAAGCGGTAGAGCAGGGAAGCCTGTCCTGTGCCTCCCTCTCCTATCACTAAACCTTGGAATCATCTCTGACAAGTGCTGCCTCCTCAGCGACACCTTTCCTCATTCTTTCCCAAATGGATCATCTCATACCATCTCTCTTTAAACTCTCAAAGCTCTCTCAGTGCTTCTCATGTTCTGTCTCATAAAATAGTGCCCGTATGGGGCCAGCCTGGTGGCATAGTGGTTAAGTTCACGCTGCTCCCCTTCTGCTGCCTGGGGTTCGGTGGTTCGGATCCTGGGCATGGACCTACTCACCACTCATCCAGCCCTGCTGAGGCAGGATCCCACATAGATGAACTAGAAGGACATACAACTAGGATATACAACTACATACTGGGGCTTTGGGGAGAAAAAAGAAAAAGAGGAAGATTGGCAACAGATGTTAGCTCAGGGCCAATCTTCCTCCAAAAAAAGTAGTGCCTGTATTTGCCTTGTCTATCGTCCTAGATTTTAAACTTTCTGTCTTACTCCCAGGTATGTCCTTTGCCACAGCAAGCACAGTGTCTTACATATATTCCTTGTGAAATTAATATTTGTTGAATTATATTGTCCCATGCCCAAGGAATCGTCTGGAAGCCTCTATTATGACACAGATTGTTGTAAATGCTGGTTATTCAACATACTTTTAAAAATCTTTCTGCTGTATAGGGATATATAATTTACAGGCTGCTTTTGCATATACCATCCGTGGAACAATAGCAGCATCACGCACACCCCAATATAACAACTAACGTTCCTTGACTCTTTCTAAGGGGTGTTATTCAAACAAACACTTCACGTGAATGATCTCATCTTATCCTCACAGTGACACTATAGGGTAGCTATTATTATTGCTGTTATCTCTATTTTACAGTGTGAGGAAACCAAAGCCAGGTTGTAACTCGTCCCAGCCCCAGAGGTGGTGAGTAGAAGTGGAATTGAGGTGCAAGTAGCTCGCCCCCGAAATCTGACCCTCCACCCCCCACAGATGGCAGATTGTGGCAAGTCACCTGACTCTTCCCCTCTAGAAACAAGAGGGGTGATCAATACAATCTGTAGCCATGGGTATAATTATTGAACCATAGAGTACAGGTGAAAAATTATTAAAAATAAAAAACAATTAAAATCAAGTTTGGGTCATAGCTGTCATTCACACCAGTAAACTCGTCTGCAATTTTTCCATAAGGAGATATTTCTAAATGACTACACAGTTTATATTCCCTTTCTGGGTGAATAGAAACTGAATATGCTTGTAATTTTAGCATCAATTTCCATTCATTTGAAGTGATCTTTTTTTTTTTTTTTTTTTAAAGATTTTATTTATTCATTTTTTTCCCCCCAAAGCCCCAGCAGATAGTTGTATGTCATAGGTTCACATCCTTCTAGTTGCTGTACGTGGGACTCGGCCTCGCGCTGGACGGAGAAGTGGTGCCTTGGGGCGCGCCCGGGATCCGAACCCAGGCCGCCAGCATCAGATCGCGCGCACTTAACCGCTAAGCCACGGAGCCGGCCCTGAAGTGATCTTTAATTTTGAAATTTTAATTAAAAAATTCTAGGGCCGGCCCCGTGGCTTAGCGGTTAAGTGCGCGCGCTCTGCTGCTGGCGGCCCGGGTTGGGATCCCGGGCGCGCAACGATGCACCGCTTCTCCGGCCATGCTGAGGCCGCGTCCCACATACAGCAACTAGAAGGATGTGCAGCTATGACATACAACTACCTACTGGGGCTTTGGGGGGAAAATAAATAAATAAATAAAATCTTTAAAAAAAAAATTCTAATATGTTGTTGAAGGTTTTGTAAAGAGCTTAGTTGCAAAGCAGCACACATTAAGTGTAGCTCTACAAGGAATTGGGGCATCCAGAGCTGATGATGCAAGATGGATTTCTGCCAAGAAGTAGTCAGTCTCACGCAGAAACCCTCCTTGTTTCCCCCACCCCTTCTGTCGTGTCTCAGACTCTGCCACCCCATTCCTGAAAACAATGACGTGCCGATGTTTTAAAGACACGTCCACCCAAACTAGTGGAGGGATTTGAGAGAACAGAGCTTCTGCCAGCAGAGGGCGACCTTGGCTTGTCTTTACAGGATTGCTGTCTTGGGCTACATACCTTACACGTGAACAGAAGTCCAAACAGAAGTCAAGTTTACCCACACTTCACTACAAAGACATTCTGATGAAAATAAGTTTTTAGTGTACAAGCACATGCGGCTTTGCCTTGAAAGCATCTGTTCTTTTCAGCACCACTGAACAGGTATCTGCATCAAACAGTTCAACTGACACTCTGGTTAAAGGAAGTCATAGATGAAATCCTGGAGTGGTTTTCTTGCCTATTTCATAGAAAGTACAATATGTTTTTTTTTTTTTTCCCCACGAAATCATGACTTCTGAAACCACTTAGCATCATCAGTGATGACAGTTAAATTTCCCAGAAACGGGGATATTATAAGAGCTTTTATTTTACAAGGGTGATTATGTGCCCTTAAGGAAAAAACAAGATTCTCTGAATATCTTTCTGTTGCACCAGTTTTTAGTCACTTTAATTATAAACAGATTCCAATCCAAATGTTCTTTCTTGATTAAAATTATGGAAATATTCAAAATAAATAAGTTAGATGATGTGTAGAGGGGATATCAGTTGTCAGTTGCCATTTTAAATAGCTGCTTACTTTGCGGTAATCCTTTTTAGAAACAAATCTTAAGAATTAGAATTCTAGTTGATTCCCAAATAGCTACTAACATTAACTTTTCATCTGTATCCAATAAAGATAGGCAGTAAAGCCAAACTACAGTGTATTTTGCTCTCCTCTCAATTTCATTTCCTAAATTACTGAAAATTATTTTAAGTAAATTTCCGATCGTAAACTTGAAATCAATTTAATTATCCAAACTGAATGTATCTATAAGCATTTTTCAAGTTTTTTTTCAAATTTGTATGACTATTGTAGATTCTTCATTCCTTCCCATTTTGACAGTATATCCTAATCTAGACATTTTGTGGCTTCACCATCTATTTCTAAGCAATTTTCTCCCTCACAAAACTTGTCAAAGTTCAGTGATATAATTAGATGGTAATGGAGGAAGTATGGTATAAATTCAAAGAAAAACTTGATTTATAAAAATCTTTTTAGAATTGTTGATAATCTCACAAGTCCAATTAACAGTGTACCAGAATGGTCTCAAAATGAAATGTTTGGTTCTGACGTGACCAGGGAATACAACATAATTGTCAACATCACAGTCTTGGCATCAGAGGGCCTTGATCTGACACCTAGCCAACAATAAGGATTGTAGACCTCTCCCGACCTGTGTGCAAGCCCGGCTGCATGGGAAGCATTTCACATGGACCCGTGCTGTGGTTCAAGCGTGAGCTTTAGGGCCAGACTCGCTGGGTTTCAGTCCCAGCTCCACTTCTTAGTAGTTATGTGACCTCGGGAAAGCTGCTTAACCCCTCTGTTCCTTTGTTGTCTCACCTGTAAAATGGGGATGATAACAAAAGTACCTAGTTCACAGGGTTTCTGTGAAGATGAAATTAATGTTCGTACAGCACCTAGGAAAATACCTGCACATAATAAGTGCTACATGTGTTTTCTTTCTTTTTTATATTACTTTATTTAATACCTACTAGAACCTCCCCTGTAAGGCTAGCTTCATGAGTGCGCAACCTATGGGGCACACAGGGCCCCGTGCTAAGAAGGGCCCTGTGCTTGGTTTAATTCTCTGCTGCTGTCATCTTGAAACTCTCAATAACTTTTGAACAAGGGACCCTACACCTACATTTTGCACTGGGCCCCGCATCTTCGGTAGCTGGTCTTGAGGTAGACAGTACTATTGTCCCCATTCTGCCACGTTCTGTATATCTGGCTTTGGATAAGCAACATCCTCAGCATTCTCACCTGTAAACTGTAGGTGTCATTACTGACCTGCAAGGTTCTTGGGAGGGTTAATAAGATAATGTGTAAGGAGTGATTGGCACATGTAAGTTCTCAGAAATGGTTATCTATTATTATTAACATTTATCTTGATAAAATAACTAACCCAACATTTCCGTACTTCTATAAATACATATTCTTGCTTACAATTACAAGAAACTTTTCAGTGCAGTCAATAGTTTACTGAAAGTACAGAAAAAAATCATAAAACTCATCCCTGGAAAAATTAAGATAGGTTTATGAGGGAAAAGATTGTATCTTTAGTGTTACAGAAGGGCCTTATTAAAATTTGAGGCTTCTGTAAACCTTAAAGCTGAAGAAATTCTTTGTTCTATAAACCTAGACTTGAGAAGTATTCCGGTGACTTGAACTTGGGTGAGAACTGATGGAACCCTGGAGAAAATTTTCAAATATATTATTAATAAAAAGTAGGCTCAAAAACAAATAAACAAAGTGCTGAAGACTGCATCAACCCAAATATTTATTCATAATAAACTTCAGTAATATCACAAGTGAATGAACGGAGTCTGACCCCAACACTATGAAGGGAAAGGAAAATGTAACCAAGACGAAACCGCTGAGCACTATAATTCATTTGCAACCTCTCACATTTAGGTTATCATTATTTTTGTTCCTAATAAGATACTTCATGCTTTATCATTAGTTGTATTATAGAAAGTAAATAAAAATTTTCTGTAGACTTTGATGACATGTATAAAATATGTTTTCAAATAAAATTTAAAAATCAAAATAACATATATTCCTCTATAATTTACTTTAGAACACAGGACAGAAATCAGCCTCTACAGAGAAGGATAAAATAAAGCCTTCTCAAGACAATCAGAGTACAGCATTTGTTTTGACAGAGAACATAAGTCATGGATAATTATTTTACTTTATCTCTACAGAATTAAGAATATATGTTCTTTGCAACACAGCATCTACCTCTGTAAACAAAACCAATGGAAAACCCTTCGCAACCACAAGATATGGTCTGATAAAGTTTTATATCCATCCTCCAAATTTTAATTTGTTAGGTAAGTACACTCTGGAAAGATAATCTGATGATAGGAAGGTCAAAGCTTGAATTTCTGCCTTCATTTTAGAGTCTGCCATTATTTCCATCTGTCAATAAAAGCAAAATATAGTCATACCAGAGTCTTTTGCTACAGTTCTATCAAATCAAACTAGTAAATATAGACTTGTTTTATTCTCCAAAGCCATGGGCAATAGCCATTAAGTCAGCCAGAATATTCTAGAACTGCTACAGCTAAAAATATCAGAACACTAAGTATGGATGCCTTTGATAACTAGGAATGGTCTGGGGTCTTTCTAATTTCTTTCTCTTCTTTGTCCCCCCGTAAACTATGATACAGCCATAGACAATGGGTATATAATGAGGAGGATACAAACAGATGAGCTCCCTCCAGCTGATCTTATCTACTAGCATTCATAATTCAGTGTTTCAGCAACCATTTACTGCCAAACAACACCCACTCTAGTTGTTAGTGATACAAAATTTCAAGGAGGATATTTTCAAAATATCACGTGAATAGCCACTACTAAAGTAAAACACAACAAAACATACAACACTTGAATCGTAAAAATAAATATACTTCTTTTCTCCAAAATGGTTGGCAAGTAACATAAGGTCTTTTCAGGATACTGTCAAGTTTCATTTGGTCCCGTTTTGTCAGTGGAATTAAAGTATCTTTAGGTATATTTAATCTGGAAAAAAAAAGATGAAAAAAATCAGTAAAAACAAAGTGCTCCTATACCTTGAAGGTCACATATGTGTCATTTGTATTAGCACACAATTTCAAGAAACTCAGAAATAACAGATAAGAACATTAGTACAAATCCACCTTTTTAATCCAGAATTTGGGGACTCTGTCCTAGACCAGCAAGTGTTCAAGTTCACAGTGGAAGTCTGTTCTAAGGTGTTGTTTTCCTTCATGTCACACTCATGATGATGAGAGGAAGACAGACACTGGTTATAAAACAAATGCCAGTAGCACTAACATCATGTGTATCAACACCGAAGCAGCTCTCTGAGCTCCAGTCCTGAAGCCATGAGCTCCAATATGTGTGGCCAGCAGCAGGATTCACTGTGGGATTTTAGGTTCCACTGAGGACTTAATTCTCTATAATTCAAGTTAACCTATCACTTTCATTTATTCATACACGCATGCACACACACACACAAACACACCTACTAGTTTTAAATTTTAAAAAAGTAGATTGTAATTTTATCTTGGTATGTGTTTTAAAAATAGAACATGAGAGGTCCAGGATTTATGGTGTGGACCACTTTTTGAAGTCACAAATCCTGGATTTCCCAGGAGAGCTCCACTTTCAAATAGTCTTTTTCAACGTCTCCATAATTATGACCATTTGCCGGTGGCAGCTCCTGGATAGGGTGACAATTTGATTGAAAGGGAGGCCTAGAGGATTTCCCTTGAGGCCATATTTGTGTAGCTACTACACTGTTTTTTCTTTGATTGTACAATTTATTTGGAGTGGCTTTTGAGAGCACTGATGTAATTTATGAGATGCAGCTAGAGTCTCTCCAAGCCCTCCACCTTAATAATTATTAGATCATCTGTTCTGAATTTGTGTTAGAAATGATCTTCATACAAACAGATCACCCCCAACGGATTTTGACCACGACACATACAGTGAAATGAGCAAAACTCTGATTCACTAGAGTGTAAATATCCAAAAATCAGAAATTGAATGTTTTCTCTTGTGCCCTCTTTTTGAAAGATGTGGCAGTCACCCAAAACTCTTTCTTATTCCCTATTTAGGAAACAAGCACCTGTTAGCAAAGTTTGCTCACTGCTTCAAGAAATCCAGTAAACGTGTTTAAGCTCATTCTCACTGATCAATTAAAACAATAATAAAACATTTTTTAATATCACATTAGCAGAGATGAATAAAAGTGATAATGTCCTGTTCTGAGGAACAGATGGGCTCTTACTCTCCAGGGAAAGCAAAATAATTAACCTATCCGGAGGGCAGTAGAAGCCTTAAAAATGTGCCTACCCTTTGACCCAGGAACTCTGGGAATTCAGCCTACAGGCCTAATTAAGGGCAAAGATTTAGTTACAAGAGGGTCCATCACAGCACTGTCTATCAGAAGAGATTTGGAAACCACCCAACGTCCGACTTCGAGGGATTGGCTGAATAAACACTGGTACATCCAGAATTCCAGCTCAGTAATAAAGACATCAAAATGAGATTGTAGAAGAGAAACGTATTTATTGATATGGAAAAGCGATCGCATTGTGCTGTGTGAGAAAATGAGATTACAAAATAACATTAGAACATGATCTCATTTTTGTGAAAAAGTTATGGTGATGCACAGAAAATAATCTACAAGGGTCAAGTGGTTCACCTGTAGGCGCTTTTTATCTTATTACTTAATATTTTTTTCTATAATGAACATGTATAGTAAACTTGCCAACATTTAGGTTCCCAAACTTTAAGTAATCTTAAACTGAGATGTTTTTTATGAAATCAAAATTTTAAATCTATAATAAAATTGATTCATATGGGAAATGCTATTGTCAATGATTATCATTTAATCAGATTCAATGTCTTATACTTTCCAAGTAAAAAAAAAATTTACAAAATATTTTAACCATAAAAGTAAAATAAAAAACATTTTCTAGCTAGCTAGAAGTTCAATTAACCAAATTCATTTGTTCAGTGTTTTAGTAGCTGAAACAGAAACACTGATGAATTTAATTCATAATTATGTAATCTTGAGTCATAGTCAACAATATAAATAAGAAACCTTAAGAGCTTAACCTTGTAATGACTTTTTAGTCTTACTGTTACATATTTCAGTCGTCATTTTACGTATCCTAGTTCTACTAAACCATCTAACCTTTTAATGTCAGAAGGGAGGAGACCAAGCCATCTGATAGCTGGAACTGTGAGATTATGGGCTTCAAAAGACATCGACTAAAACAAAGAGCAAACGTATACAGGTGAAGCTAAACTGCACAGAACTAGCACACTTGATTTTGCAGCCAATTTTTTACTTATTAAGAAGGACAAGTACTAAAGACCTCACACCCCCAGAGCCCACAGAAGTAAGAAAATCATTCAGAGCTTCGCTAAGCTGGACTTTCAGTGAAGGTTTTAAAACTGCTCTGTATTTCTATACTGATTTTCTATAAAGTAAAACTACAGATGAACCTGTCTGAGCTGCACTTATTATTGTTTGTGATTCCACATCCTAACACCATCCCTTCCACCTGCTATAAACACGTACGGCAGGGACACTCAAGGCGAGCACCAGTGGTTCCCAAACCTGACCACGCATCAGAGTCACCTGGGGCCACCCTTAGGGATTCGGATTCAGGAGGTCTGGATGGGGACTGAGACTTGCATTTCTAACAAGTTCCCAGGTGACGCTGACACCGATGGTCCGGAACCACACTCTGAGAACCACTCATGTACGGTAGTTGCAGACCCTTGTGGGGAAATTTGGTGGTCTTTTCATTTCTCCTTATGGTGGGAGAAAAGGGAATTGGCAAAGTCAGAATTCAAGGCTATATATAATTTTCAGAGTATATTTGGTGATCATACAATGTTGTTGCCCTGAGGCCCCACAGTTACGTCAGCAGGCCAGGAGAGTGGAGATAATAATGCCTCTGGCCCACAGCTAATCCCACTCTGTCCCCTTCAGTTCACTGTTCATACTGGAAGCTGGAATCACAGCTACTGAAACAGGCTGGCCCTCAACTAGGGCTGTAGCTCCCCTGGTACGTTTGCGGGCCCTCAGCTTACTAGAGGCTCATAAGTAAATGCAGAAATATCCCCAATGAATATAAAATATCTCAATAGTGGGAAAAAGAAAAGTACTTTTCTCTACTTACCATAGATCCATACTTATAGATGCACATTATTTCTATGCCTGTCAAAAGAAAGTTACCTCCAAAATTAGTCTTCTTGTATATTACAGGTTAGATAAATTGCATTCTCAAATTCTATCTAACATACGCAATTTTAATTTTCATGGACATTACCAATGAAAAAGTATGGTTCAGTTTAATATGGAAAAAATAATAAATTGCCTCAAATGATTATAGTCATCGATTTTAATCTGAAATCATACTCTTTAAAAATGTTTTATGAAAGTGTTGTAAGAGCAGAAAGGCACAACGACAAATATGACTTAATTACGACCATTGTGTGAAATAGTCCGCTGATAAAGTACCATGTGGATCAGCATCTACAAGACTGAAAATAGGAACGTGAAGTGCATCCCACAGCTTCTTGACTAAGAGTCTTGTGTTCAGATCAGGTACTCCTTTTCCCTGAAAGCAAGACTGAAATTATGTATTTTACAGTAGAATGAAACTGATAAAACTATATCCTTATTTTATTAATGATTTAAAAGATAGATTCCCTTACCTTAAATTTCAGGTGGTGGAAGACTGGTGTTGACTGTGAAAAAAGTGTACAATATACATACAACAGGGCGAAAAAGCCCACATACATTCATAAATTTGATTCAGTTATCCCAGTCCTGGGAAATATTTCAGCAGAAATCGAAACAATAAAATTCCTACCTACGTAAAGATGTTCACTGCAGTGTTATTTAAAATGACAAAAACTACTGTAAATAGCCAAACTATCTAACAACAGGGACGTGGCGTGGCAGCGTGGCGCGGGGTGGGGTGTGCCAGCTGCAGGGCAGACAGCCTGGGCGGGCGTCTCAGCTTGGCCACTTGTTGGCAGCATGAACCTGAACGAGTCACAAAATCTCTCTGTGGTGTAGGGCCCATGTAACACCTTATAAGGCTACTACAGAAACTAAATTATTTAATAATCATAAAGCACTTAGAAGAGTACCTGTGTAAATTTAGGATTCTATAAACATAAGTGGCAGGACAATATTATGAAGTCATTAAAATAATAATTATGTAAAAAGTAATGTAAAGAGCAGTTAAAGAGCATTAAAATAGTGTTAAGAGAGAAAAGCGGAAAATCAAATGTAACATGGAGCAGAGAAGAAAGCAGGCAGAGGTCAGAATGGGCTTCGGGTGGCACAGCTCTGAGTCTGAATTCCCTCTCTGCCTATCATTAGTGAGTGATACTGGGCCGGTTTCTTAGTCTCGTTAGGCTGTGGCTTTATTTATAAAATCGGGAGACATGTGCCTGCCACACAGTTACGGCACTATAGCAACGAGGAGCTGAACTATCTGAACTCAAGTCCTGGTTTTGACCAGCCATAGGATTGTGGTAAAACGCCTTCCTGCATCCCACTACCCGACTGTTAAAATATGGATGATGTTAGCACCTACCCCAAACGGTTGTCGAGAGACTTTACAAGTTGATATGTGACAAACAGCAATAAACGTGAACTCTAATCACGCAGAGTACCGAGGAGAGCTCCTGGAACATCGGGATCACCTAGTGAATGGTAGTGTGTTCTTATTTTTTCCTTTGGGAAGCAATGACACGTGTACGTGGTAGAGGAGTCAGACAGTACCAGGAGACATCCACTGAGAAATGCCCCTTCCCGCCTGACCCTCCATTCCCAGCTGCCCCCTTCAGACACAACCGCTAGGGGTCAGCTTCCTGTGGGTGTTTCACGGTAGTAATAACAGCAGTTTTCAACGGACACCACGACAGCTCCAATGTGTGGACAGGCAAGGACCAGAAGGCAGCACACAAGAAGAGACAAGGTAGAAAAAGAGAACTATGCGTGATCTTTCCCTCTGTAACTACCGTTGTATCATCTCTGCAACTCAGATGTGACAGAGAGCCCCACTTTACGAGCGTCCCCAAAGCAGTGGTACCAGACATGACTCAAACACCAAGGGCTGAACAGAGGCCCAGCCCACCGCAGCTTCCTGGTCTGTGATGGCTTGGCTTCTGGGCAGCCCGGCAAGTACGTGCTCTCACCAGAGGTGTGAAGGGGGAAGAGGACGGGGCCAAAGTCTGAGCCACAGGACACCCCCACAGAGAGGTCATTTCAGGGGTTCAAATGGGGCCTCTACTCTTTACGAGGTCTCAGTCTGCATTTTCCATCTCAACTGTTGCCCCTTCACTTCAAACTAGGCAGATGCCACTACGATTTCCTGCTATCATCTCAAATTCATATTTCTTAAACTACGCTCAAAATCTTTCTTCCATGAAGAACTGGGCCTTCCTGCCACTTGTCCTCTAGCTACCAATGGTGACACTGTGGTAGGGTTCACACATCACTCACTGTGACTCATTCCTCACACCCCGTGGTCACCAAGTCCTTTTGACTTGACCTTGGAAACGTCCTTTGTTTCAGCTCTTTCTCCTTAGTCACCCCTCCTCCTCACCCATCCTTACCCCAAGACGACCACCTGATAGCCTCCTGCCCGGCTCCCCGACTCCAGCGATCTCCCCTCCGTCTACCTGTTGACGCTGCCACACTAATCCTTGTCAATTCCTTTGTCACCAATCCAAACACTCCGTTAGCCTTGATACTTCTGCACAAATCAGGATGCCTCCCCGGGAGTGGGCAGACCTTCCGAGGCTCCTGACGGCCGCCCCACATCCTGCTCCCTCTCCAGGGCCGCTCTCCTCACTGCTTCCACAAACGTCACACTCACCGTTAACCTAGCAAGCCCGAAGAATTTTAAGTAGATGAGCTTTTGTTTCCCTTCAAAGAACTAGGTTTTTATACAGATCTACAAAAGTAGAAGGCCGGGACGGGGGAGCGGAACCTGATGCCTCTGTTACTCTGTCAGCATCCCACCCCCCACACCCCAGCTTCCTCTAGTCCCCCCTCTTTCTTTCCTGCTCCAGCCGATGTCACGGTCACCCCAGTTTTAGGGACTCCTCCCGCATCACCCTGTAGCAGGAAGCTTACCACCCTTTGCTAACTGACGCCTGTATTTCCCCATGTGTTATCTCAACATATGCTTCTACACTCTTTGCTATTCTTTGCACATTCGTGTCAAAAAAAAAAAAAAAAGCAGGCTCCTTTTGAGTGAATTAATGATATCACCTGGCACACAAACCCGTGTGAGGAAGAACAAGGAGCAGCTCTTGTTCATTCAACCCTGCCCAAAGCCCCACCGTTACCATATTATAGTTGGGACAAGCAGCCCCTGTGGGAATAGAGTGAGGGTGAACCCGAGGGCCCCTGTAAACTCACTGTGGTATTAGAAAGTCACTGGTATTTAAAAATCAAGACCGTCACCTTGATTTTAGTCAGATTTGAGGATGTTTAAATAAACACCTTGGAAATTCTTGCTCTGTAACCCCAAAGGATGCAGCATATTGATAACAGAATGCTGGGCAAGCTGTATAGATGGTGTTATAAACCCCTCTTACCAAACACCAAAGAAATGTGTTAGTCTTGGAATTGTAGTAAAGGTAGATAATATACCGTAACCATGATGCATGGAGACATTTTGCTGCAAAAGTTGTCATCTAGGAGTCGCTGAAATGTCGCATCTTTTTCTACAATTAATAGAAATTTCGCATCTGTAATTAAATCTGTGAAGTTAAGGCTGATAAGTTGAAGGCAAGAGTATTTCAGTTTAACCACCAACTGAATAATGGTTCCATATAGATCAATTCAAAAGCAGCTACAGATATAGTATTTTCATTTTTACCTTCAAATATATAAACAGATACCTATTCATATATTTAGATATTTGTCTCTCCTACTAGATAGTAAGCTCCTAAAAGAAGTCTAAAGAAGGAACTCTGATGTGTTCATTTTGACCAGTATAAGGTCTAACTTGCTTATTACACATTATGAAATTTTGGTTTACCAAAATAATGAATGAATGAGCATTCTAGAAGTTTAGTTTCCCCACTCAAAGGATACTCCAAATTCCTTGGATATTAGATGGTACAGCAACAGCCTAAGATAACAAAACCATACATTTTTTATGTTAAATAAAAAGCAAGTATAACCACATTTTAAAATTTATCACAAAAATTCTATATTTTCATTTTTCTTTGAATATACCAGTCATCAGAGGTTTATTCCCCAATAAGAAAACAGTAGGAAACAGGTTTACTCCTCAGTAGGAAAACAGACACATAACCCAAACTATTTCCCAGCAGGCGAGAATTTCTCGGAAACTCTGTATTTATGTGTCTTAAAAAGCAGAAACTGATGAAGGAAAGACTTCCTATTGAAGGAGCTCACAGGTATCCCCTTCCTCCTTTCCAAACTGCTGTGCTAGTTACCGTGGGCTTTCTATGTACTAAAGACTAGCAAATAGTTTGATATTAAAATATTAATCTCAGGGCCAGGAAATTTTATGAAGATTATACAAATCTTCTATACATTATATATCTTCTACACCTTATATATAATATACATTATGTATCTTCTATACATTATATATAACTATGCTAAAATGGTCAAGCCACACTCTACCTGAAAACAATAGTATTTTAAAAAAGAATGTGTATGTTTATTTCAATATGCCATTTGACAATTGGCATAGTTTGAAGTTATGTAACATACAACCCCACAGAGCATATACCTATTCATCCTTCAGTTTTATTTTAAAATCTTAAGTTCCAAACTACGTAACAAAGCAGGAAATAAATACATTTCAAAAACAAAGGATCTGAAAGAGAGTTAAAGCATGTGAACACATCAATAACGCTTACTGTTGCACAGGTACAATGCACTTTGGTGCCATCTTCCTCGATATACCTTAAATTGCCAGCAATTAAACCTTTTGATGTAGATAACTGAAAAAATAATAGACATATATGAAACCTTTTTCACTAATGTATTTTCTGTTGCTAAGTCACTCCTCATGTCACCTGCTAAATTATATGTATTTTAGCCAAGATTGGAATTTAAGAAATGAAGGAGAAAATAGGTAAGAGTATTTAGGAATAAAAAATATTTGGTCATTCATCTATTTTGGTCCATTCACCCAAGGTAATATGTTGAGAATAGATTATTTAAATTCATAGTGAGAAAAATATAATATCAAATAATATTAAAAGAAGGCACAGATTACATTTATTCCTCTATTATAATTTTTATACAAACATTTTGTCTTAAAATAAAATGTTTTGCATTAAATGCTACTTACTATATGTAGACTCCTCCTCGGCACTTTTAACATACAGGAAACATCGTTGATAATATTGTCCACAACAGTCTGGTTACCAAAGAGTTGGCTGTCAGTGTAATATATGTCTCTATGAAAATTTAACATATATATTTTTAATTAACAATATTCTCTTTGAATACAAGTACTGGAGCATTATTTGAAGAAAGCTTTAACTGGATGAAACACAACATACAGGCAGGGTTATTTATTTATTTAGTGAGGAGATCAGCCCTGAGCTAACATCTGCCAATCCTCCTCGTTTTTTTGCAGAGGAAGACTGGCCCTGGGCTAACATCTGTGCCCATCTTCCTCCACTTTATATGGGACACCGCCACAGCATGGCTTTCCAAGTGGTGCATCGGTGCGAGCCCGGGATCCGAACCCTGGAACCCCGGGCCACCGCAGCGGAGTGCGCGCACTTAACCGCTTGCGCCACCGGGTCAGCCCCTAGACAGAGTATTTATTACCCATAGTCTAGTCTTATGTAACTTTCAAAACATATAATGAAAGTTAATCCAACTAAATCTCACATTGCATTTTAAAGAGTAATTTACCAGAACAATGTATTTACCTCTTGGTTGCATAAGTGTTGCTCTGTACTAATTTGTAAATCATGGACAATATTTTAAGAATTAGTGCTGGAAAATAAGATACAAAAAACAAGTTACTCATCATTTCCCTCACTAATTCAAAACACACTGCTATCAAGGATTTTAACTCTCCCCAGTTACTTTCCATAACATTAAAAAAATTCTTTCCAAAGTAGAAGTGTTAAGTACAGAATAATAATTGCCTGAAGAATCAGATAAAATTAATTGCCTATGAACAGCAAAACTGACAATACTTTTCCATCGAATCACGTACTTTGCAAATTTATTTTGGAATTATAATTTACTTCCATGGTTATGGACAACGCAAAATTCTATAAATTTATTTCAAGTGCAAGGGTGGTCTATTAAAGAACAAGCAAAATTATTTAACTAGGAACTGCTAAAAGGTTACCAGAAGGCAACCAAATTTATTTATTTCATTACTAAAAGGGAAGAAAGATTAGTTTACCAAAATTTTTAACTGATTTTGGTGAATCACTTCTGATTTTTCTTGTGGTACAATGAGATACCATCTGAAGACCCACAGAATCTTCAAACCTGTCATTTCGTTTAAAGCAAGAGAATAAAATAAAGAAGAATTAACTTCTGAACACCACAGAGTATACGCTTAATGTTCCCTCCTACACATCATTTAAATCCACATTTCTTCTCAATGTAAACACTGAAGCTTTAAGACAACCTCGTTTATAAACTTAGATAATTCCAGGTGGTAATTACGTAATTACTTTGGGGACATACAGAGGCACTGAAAGTGTGTAAAATAAATGAATTAAATACCTTTGATTATGACATGTGTGCGTGTCTGTGTGTGTATGTATATTTTTTTCCCAGGAAGACATTTACGTGAACTATTTTCAAATATTTCACAGTTTTATTAGCACTTTGCTCATTTCAATAATTTACTCATTTAATAATTTTACTCAATTTAATAAGTTTTGAAATATTTTATTTGATTTACCTCCAAAGTTACATTAAACAAAATAATTTAAATTAGGTTGTTAAATTGAACTGCCAAGCCTGTCCTAAAGGTGGCAGGAGGCACTAGGCAAACAGCCAGATGTTAGCTGCTTCAAGGCTAGATGAAACTCATCTTGCAAAATATGATTCAAAAGTTTATAGTTTCTATTAATCATATTGATCATAAAAGAATACTTAGTGACTAAAGAGCCTAAAAATTGCTTTTATTCTGTTTCTGTAACTCCTACTGAGAACTATTTTGTAGTGTTTTTCATTAGTTAGTGGAAAGATTCTACAGGCTGAGGATCTGTAAAAAAAGAACTATATAACTAAGTTCAAAGACTATGATAACGCTGTTTGCTGATTTTACCCTCTCGGGCACACGACTTAGCAGGCGGAGACCAACCCGGAGAAAGAGCCATTGAAATGTGCTTTACGATCAGGACACATTTATTTTGGTCCTGGTATCAGGATTGGTCATAGCTCCGCTGAGTAAGTGGATTGCTTCTGCAGTATAGATGAGAATTCCACTGGCCACATTTCCCCCTCTGAGTGCTAGAAAGCTTAGATCCGAGTGTGGAGCCTATTTTTAGCAAGACCGTAAGACTTTATCATCCGTGTTTTGAATTCTCACCTCTTTCCCTGCTCCATTTTTTGTTTCTAGCATTGTTTTTTCTTCGCCTTATCTTTCACACCTACTTCTAGTTTATAGAACTTGCCTGTATGGTATGTATTTTGTAAACTTCCTTAAATCCTTCTTGGCAGAGTAAAGACAATAAAAAGAACCATATCCAACTGGAACTGTAACTCAAATAAATTCAAATAACGACATAGATACTAGACTTAAAAATAAAAAAATGCAAAATGCCCACTTTATATTTTCCCAGCTTGATCTGTTGTCTATTGTGAAGGCAGGCGCTTCATTTCTCGCCAAGCTTGTGATTATGTCTTGGATAATATTTTCTATAGATGCAAGAACCTCAGAACTGAAACAATAAACACACTATGATTTGATCTTAATTCTAAATTAGCCCCTTATGTAACATTTCCCCAGATCAATACTAAAATAACTTTTTGTTTCACTGCTTGTTTTTTAAGACTAGGTAATCCACATCAATAATGATCTCCCACTACATTTCAACATCAGTACAGCATTAAAACAACTGTATTTATCCTGGTTACTTACAGACAAATGTCATTTACCTGTAATTTTACTTCTCAAACAATTACCAACTTAAGTAATATCTCCCTTTTAGATTAAGAACTAGAGAATATAATTTATAAATATATTTTGATCTATTCTTCATATCAACCTTCTTAAATACAAACTCCTTGGCTTGAAATACTACTGATAAACGTTTTAATTAAAAATGATGTAATATTGGCTTTGAATTTAATTTCTTTCCCAAAATGCAATGCAAAAACGTTTCAAAAGGAACACTTGTTGTTGTAGCACATTACCCTAATTGATCTCATGCCTTAAATCAGCCCTTCTGAATTTTAGTGACACAAAAAGAAAAAAGTTTAATCACTACCATGAAAAGACTTGGCAACTATTACGCCACTTTACAGCAAAATATTAAGACTTAGCCCAGTTTTGTGTCAGCTGACTTTTAATTTCACAAGCCATCAGCTTCAAAAAATGCTGTCGGGTTATAAATACCATCAGCATATTGCCTAGCAAGGGAAATCAGATCAAATCTAGAAAATGGCCAAAGCGTTGAGTTTTTCTAATTTCCGGGGAAACTTCAGAGCTCTCAGTGCAAACGCAGGTCTCAGAACACAAGTTTTAAAACATCCACTATTTTCTAACATGGAGAGGTAAAAGCCGACTCAAATACTGTGACCAACTCGAGATACAATCGGATTAATTTCCATCTGAGACGCAAACAGGGACTGCCATGGCCTCCTTTCCCTCCCCCATAAATTCCCCCTCCACCAAATCCTTCTGTGAAAACGTGTTTCCTTGTGGGTTTTTTGCCCTTTTTGTTCTGTGTTTTGGTAGTTAGCTTGGGCTTAAAGATTAAACACAGTAATTTGTTTAGACCGAAAATCTTTGCTGATAAACCAGAAAAGCAGAGCAAGGAAGCAAAACAACAGAGCATTTTGGGCAAAAGTGGTCAATCAGGTACCACGCTGCCCCTAGTGAATTCCCGATGGGGGCGCTGGATGGTCTCTGGGACCCACTCTATCAGCCCCACGCGCCACCAACTGAGCCACCGCCACCTGCTGTCCTCCGTCTTAAACAAATCATGTAAAGTATGGACGGTCTCAGGATGGCGTAGTGGCTAAGTTCACGCTCCACTTCCCTGGCCCCGGGTTCGCAGGTTCGAATCCCAGGCTCAGACCCACACACCGCTCATCAAGCCATGCTGTGGCGGCGCCCCATATAAAGTGGAGGAGGATGGGCATGGATGTTAGCCCAGGGCCAGTCTTCCTCAGCAAAAAAATAAATTAATTAAATTAAATTAAATATGGACATTCTCCCCACTTTCAAGTCAAGAAAACCGTGGTCTTATTATAAACCACTTAAAATGTGTTGACTTCCTTGTTCATAAATAAAATGCACTTACTGAGCGAGAACTCACAACATTCACTTTCCCTCCCTCTCTTCCAAAAAAAAAAAACCTTGAAAACCTAAGTTAAAATTTTGTCTCCCCCCCTCCCCGAATTGTTAACATCCCAAAGTCACACTGTGCCCTAAGGTCCCTGACCCATAGGGCTCTCAGGAAACCCTCAAGTCCAGCAGTTGGGATGCTCCTGGAACACTGCAGAAGGAACCTTCTAGAAGACAGGAAGACCGCAGGGGGGCTGTCCCCAGGCTTTTCGAGTTTAAACTAGGAGTTAAAGGCAGCAGAGGCAGGGCGTGCGAGGGAAGCACCCTCCTCGGTCCAGCGGCCGGCCAAGGGGGCCCCTCCCGCGGCCTCGACCCCTCGGCCCGAGACGGGAGGGGCGCCCCACACGGCCTGCAGAGCACCTCGGCCGCTGTCCAGCCCCGGGGCACGCCGCTCCCTGTACCTGGAGGCCGGGCGCACCCCCCCGCCCGCCGGCTCCCCGCCGCCGCTCCTCAGGGCGGCCAGCAGGGAAGCCCTGTGCTGGTCCACAACCGCGAAGAACGAGGCCTCCGGCCCCATGGGCGCAAAGGCCATGAGGACAGCTGGCGAGGAAGAGCTCCAAGGGCAGGACCCTAGCTCGGCCCGCGACGCCCTTCCCCGAGCGCGCAGCAGCGTGCTTCCAGGCAGGGCAGCCCGCCTTTCCCGCGCTTTCTGGCTGAGGCCCGCGCATGCGCACACCTCACGCACCAGACAGGGCCTGTAAGACGCATGCGCATAGCACCTTCCACTGAGTAGGTTGCGCATGTGCAGGACTCCATCAGGTGCAGTCCCACCTGGGGAGCAACATGTTGGGCTGCTCCTGGGGCGGGGTCTGGCCAGTATCTGGGACCAGCAGGGTATGGTTGGGATGTTTGACCTAGATTTCCTAGAAATGGTTTTATGTTATTTTTTTGGCTATTTAGGGAAAATAGTACCAGCGATTTTTCATTAAAACAAACAGAGAGATCCAGCTGTGTGCCAGATACAATTCTAGGCACTGGGTTCAGCTGTGATCAAGGAAAACAAAATTCCTGCCCTTACTAACATTTATATAGTAGTTGAGGGCTTACAAAGCCCATTTCACTCAGCCTCTCTCTTTTACTTCTCTTAACAACCCCAGGAGGTTCCTAATGTGATCGTGGTGGTTTTGCAGGAGAGAAGTGAGGGCCACAGGCTCAGGCAGGCCTGAGTTAACATCCCGGCTCGATCTCTTTGTACAGCTGCCAGATTTAGTCAATTAAGATACAAGACAGCTTTGAATTTCAGATAAACAGCAAATACGTTTTTGTAGGATAAATAGGTCCCATGCAGTCTTGGGGACACGCTTTTACTAAAAACTTATTTCACTGTTTGTCTGAAATTCAAATATAAGTGGATGTCCGGTATTTTATCCAGCAATCCTGCTGTTGGACCACATCCTCCCCTGGCAGATTTAGTGAGCTGCACCTTTCCCCTACTCTGCCAGCCTTCTGGAGCAAGAGATGGGAGTTCTGAAGCCCCAGGGAAGGAGTCCTGCCTCTGAGGGACAATGTCCTTGAGAGAGAGGAGAGGACAGTGGGGAGAGAAGCTGGAGCAAGGTGGCTCCACAGCCTGTGGGGGCAGGTCCTGCATGGATGGGGTCCTGGGGCCTTTGCCCCGGAAGGGCCATCTGACAGCAGGCCCACTCCAGAGAACTATTTTGTTCCCTCCATTCCTGGTTGTTTGATAGTTTTGAGACGAAAACTGCTTTCCCATCATAAATAGTACTGGCCTCACTTTGTTCATAATGATGGCTGCTGGTGCCAAGCGCTGTGCTGAGGGCCTTCATTGTGATTATCACACACACTTCCTCTCGCCTGCCCTGCGCTCTGCAGTGTGAGTCACTGAGGACTCAGCTGTGAACAGGCAGCAGAATCCTTGCCCTCGGGGAGCCCACAGTCTGGGGGGTGGGGGCAGGAATTGAGGACAAATAGGTGAACACCTAAATCATTAAGTTGGCAGGGTGAGACGTGCTCTTAAATCAACAACCCTAAGCGGTAAAAATTATTATTCCCATTTCACAGAGGAAGAAACTGAGGCTTGGGGAAGCTGAGCAATTTGTGAAAGATTGCAGCGAGGTAAGTGACAGAGCTGAGGGGTAGATCTTGACCCCAGATTCGAGCTCTTGCTGCTAGGATGTGAGGCTGAGGGTCTGGCTGGAAACGTGTCATCATTTCGTGGGAGTCTCTCTGGTCATGGCTTACCCCTCTGGCCTCCGTCTTCTCGTTTTCCAGATGAGGGCGTTGCAGCAGGTGGGCGCTCGTTTATCATCCTCCATGAGGAACAAGGAAATACAAGGCCTTTGAAGGAAGAGGGCGAGTCAGGGACACGGGCGGGCTTGTCTGCTGGGACGTGCCTGTCTTCTGGGACTAGAACCCTCTGTCCACTTGTCTCTGTCTCGAGGACAGACCCTTCTGTATCACGTAGTGCCACACTCAGCCAGGAGCCCGCGGCCTCGCTAGATCTGACATGAACTGAGAGGCCCTGACTGGGCAGGGGCGCAGGGAGGGGATCAAAAACAGTGATGGGCACAAACCCGTCATAAACCTAGCGTCCCTGCAGGGAGAAACCACACGGTGCAGACTTGAAAGGGCCTCGCTGGGGCGCCCACTGCAGCAAACCACAGCGGGAGGCCTTAGCCCGGGCTTCCAGGCAGCTGCGGCTCTGCCTCCAGGGACCCAGCCTCTCTCAGGTAACCGGCGTGCACGAAGTGTGCACCACCTCCACATCAAAGCCGGCCGGCCCAGCCCCAGGCCGCCGGAGGAAACCAGAAAACACATTCCAGCCCTAGCGACAGACTGCAGATGGCACTGGCAAACGCCACTTTGCAGGGCAGTCCCCATCATGAGGTCTTTCTTCCCGCTGGCTGGCTACGCTGACACAGGAACAGAGAGGGCTCTCAAAGCTGTGCTCAGGCTGCACTCAGTTGGGAAAACGAAAAGCTTTTCCCCAAACCCCACTTATCTCTGAACCCAACCTGCTGTGGGCCGGAGCCTCCATGCAGGTTACAAAGAGCCTTGTTTAAATTAGCTGCAATCATCATTTCCACCTCTAACGCATCAAAAAAGGGAAAGGAGCTGGAGAAGGAGAGGACACGCCAGACAGGAGAGGATGCACACCTATTACATTTAAATAAGGTGGTTTCTTTAGCAGGTGTAAGTGAATTTTCGCATATTATACATGCTTAAGAGAAAAAGAGAAGAGAAGAGAAAGTGCCATATTGATTTCTTCACTTGGGGCTTTATAAGGTGTTTTTTTTTTTTTAGTTTTTAAACAAATTATAAGAATGATACATGCTTCTCTTAAACTATTTACATAATTCAGAACGTATGAAATAAAAGTGAAGGAAACCCCTCCCCGCTGTGGTAGCTCACTGCCCCGCCTTCATTTGTCTGTTGTGGACTCTGTGATCCTTCCGACCCTGGAATTACTCCTTCTGGCCCCCAGGGCCTTTGCACTTGCTCTTCCCTTAGCAGCTTGGAATGCTTTGTCCTTTTTCTCTCCCTACTCTCTGCCCTCCCTCCCTGAAATCCAGCCTGGCTAATTCTCCTGTATCCTTCTGATCTCCGTCTGGACATCTCCCTGGACTGCCCCCTAGGTCTTGACCCCTGGTTTCCCCATGTCTCGACATGCCTGCATTTCTCTACTCTGTCACCCCAGGAGAGCAGGGGCTGAGCTCATCCTGTGCCCCACAGTTCCACTGTGCCTGCACAGTGGGGAAGGCACTCAGTAGTGTTTGTTGAATGAATGAATGACTCCCTGTGGGGTTATCTCTGTTGCCTATTTGCTGTATTTCATCCCAGGCATCTTTCCACACATGCCCGACTCAGCATAATTTTTTTTTTTGTGAGGAAGATCGGCCCTGAGCTAACATCTGCCAATCCTCCTCTTTTTTTGCTGAGGAAGACTGGCCCTGGGCTAACATCTGTGCCCATCTTCCTCTACTTTATATGGGATGCTGCCACAGCATGGCTTGCCAAGCGGTGCATTGGTGCACACCTGGGATCCGAACCGGCGAACCCCGGGCCGCCGCAGCGGAGCGCGTGCACGTAAGCGCTTGGGCCACCAGGCTGGCCCCCTCAGCATAGTGTTTTGTGTGAATAAGAGCCTGCTCTGCGTTGCTCTGGTACTGCTGCCACTGGGCATAACAGTGACCTCAGTCTGCTAATGGTCAGACACTGGGCCACGGGCCCCACACCCAAAACCTCGTGTGCAGCCTCCCATCTTACAAGGGAGGGAGTCGAGGCTCTGAGAAGTATAACTAAAGTTACTGGGTTCCGGGGCTGGCCCTGTGGTCTAGTGGTTAAATTCGGCACACTCCGCTTCAGCAGCCTGGGTTCTCAGGTTCTGATCCCAGGTGCGGACGTACACCACCCATCAGCCACGCTGTGGCAGCGTCCCACGTACAAAATAGAGGAAAACTGGCACAGATGTTAGCTCAGGGCCCATCTTCCTTACCAAAAAACAATTACTGAGTTTCATAGAGACACATGACAAAGCACTGATGGGAACAGTTTCTCTGCTCTTAGCCACTGTACGATATTGTCTCAAAGTCAAGGTAATTTACTACGGATGAATTAATTTGCCCATTTTTCATAGCCAGTGATTATCTAGGTGGGTGTATGATGTAAAACAGCTCAATAAAAGAGAGTTAAATTGAATTTTAATAAGATCACCAGATTTTTTTTTTCCTGAGGAGGATGAGCCCTGAGCTAACATCTGTTGCCAATCTTCCTCTGTTTTGTACATGGGTCAACGCCACAGCATGGCTGATGAGTGGTGTAAGTCCGCACCTGGGAACCAAACCCAAGAAGCCAGGCCGCCAAAGTGGAGTGTGCAAACTTAATCACTACGCCACGGGGCTGGCCCGAGATCACCAAAATATTTGTAAGCCTGTGGGTCATCTTATTGATGAAGGCACGGTATTTGTTTTTAGACAGAGAGTGCTGTAATGCACCACATGGGCCCGGCACCAACTTCCATGACTGTCAACTCACGGCCAGACTTTTTTCATCTGCATCCAACCCTCTCTTCAGATTATTTGGAAGCAAATCCCAGACATTGTGTAATTTCATCCATAAGTATTTGAACATAATCTCTAAAAAATAAGGACTCTTAAAAATAACGTTAATCCTATTTTCATACCAAAACTTATGTTCACAATCATCCTTTAATATCACTCAATATTCTGTCACTGTTGAAATGTCCCCAATGGTTTCATGAATTGTTTTTATAGTTTGTTCTCGTCCAGGTGCAGATAAGGTCTGTCCATTCCTGGCTGTTGGTTGACATGTCTCTTAAGTCTCCTTAATTCTATAAGTTCTCTTTTCTTTCCTTGCAATGTATTTCTTGAAGACACCAAGCCATTTGTCCCAGAGAGTTCCATGCAATTAAGAGTCGGTGGATTGCATCCCTGTGGTGTCATTTAACGTGTTTTCCCGTCCCTGGTATTTCCTGTAAATTGGTGGTTAGATTTCAGGGCTTGACTGTTTCTGGTTTGATTTATTTTTTAGTAAAAATATTTCACAAGTGGTTTGTGATATTTAGGACCTCCAGTG